CACGTATGTACGGAGTAGTTTTTGTTTCCTTTTTCTAGACGTATGGAATTGGATTGCATAGGCACTGAAACACATATTGATTATGGTCAAAATATGTGTTGCTTGCACGGGTTGATTCTTTACCCTAGGACTTTGATCAGGGTTGGTGGAGTTTTTCTATGATTGCAAGCAAATACTAGAAAAGGGGGTATGAGATGCCTCTGGAGCTGATTATGCCTTGAATTCAGTTGCTTAAATAGTTAACTATTATTATAGCAGAGTGTAATTTACATGATGTTGTCATTAGAATTTATTCCTGTGAATCAATCAAGCAGTGCTTAATTTATTTGAACCAACCATTGAGTGATGTCATCAGCGACTTTCTCACCCTCTTCAAATATCATCTTAGCAGCTATCCGACAGCTCATGTTCTTCATCATCGAACATCATCAGCAATATTCGAAAACTTCGTATAGCAAGGTGACAACTCACACTGCTATCGCTGTAGTGACAACTGGAGTTTACTTTGGTCCTAAATTCAAACTCGATAACGTTACCCTCTCAAGTTCAACTTCATATTCAAGAGGCGAGCGATTCCCAAAACTTTCTCCTTTATCTGATCATCACCCAAATACAACAGCAATGGACACCAAAACATACACATCTCCTGAGAATGTTGCCCCCTTTGCACTTTTACCTTCAGAGATCCTTTATATGATTCTATTTCTCCTCCCACCCTCCAGTCTGGCAGCAATGTCTGCTACTTGCCACCGTCTCCGCAAACACACCCAGAATGACAATATTTGGATGAATCTGGTGAACTCAAACATTCCGAGGCCGCTCATCAGCTCTGCCCCATTTAATTCATGGAGAAAACTATACATATCCCAATATCCGATGTGGTTCTTAGTGCGCAATAAGATTTGGTTTTCCAATCAGAAAGACACGGGGAATCTTATAGTGACGAGATACAACCCGTACAGGTCGATGATTGAAGGTTTCCGTGTCGTTGCGCGACACACTTTCCGCCAATTCGAGCAATGGTCTAAGGATCCGACAGTTCTTATTCACTCTTTCAATCCGGAGGTAACCCTGCTGATGGATGATCCTGTGGTTGAACTCTTCAATTTTATCGTATCGCCTAACAGGCGCTACAGTAAATATCCATTGGGGGAGATAAACTTCACCAGGCATTATCCTGAATACCGCATGGTCACCACTTTTATGCTATGTGCTAGGATACCTCATGAGGACCAAGAGGATACTCAAAAAACTGTTTGGCCGCCGCGAATTATACCATCTGATGAACGGGTAGATGTCTCAGAAGAGCTGTCGTCGTCGTGGAAGCCAGAGCCTAAGAGACCGTGGAAATGTGAAGACATTTGTCTGTCAACTTTTAAACTGAGGCGATGGACACAGATTGGCAATCTTGGGATTGCGTGTCAAGAAGGGGCTTCTAGACGTGGGGTAACCACGTTTGCCACGTTGCAACCTGAGCTGTATACACCCACTCCAGAGAAACCTTACCGGGGTGTATGGGTGGGAGATTATTCTGGCCATGGATCCGAATTCCTTCTGGTGATGCAGAGGGATGGCCCGGTCATAGATTTCCTAGACGATGAACACCCGGACATAGAGGACAAGCCGTCAATCTCCACATCTTCCTCGACGGAAGGCCCGTCCCCCTCGTCTCCTCCGCGACTAAGGTTGGAAGCGGTAAAATTAACTGGCGACACGAACGTCCCTCGGGGAGAAATATCGTTTCTGTCAGAGGATATTGGAGCGGGAGGATTAATTAGAGTCGCTGATGAGGATTTGTTTAAGGGCGCAAGAGTCGTGCGTGCTCAGGGGCATATCGCGTGGACAAACTTTAGAGATGGTGAGTCTGCTCTCTCACCCTTTCCTTCCATATTTTATTATTTACATTGTTTGCATTTCCGCTGCTCCTTCTCTTCCAATAGCATTTTCAGTGGGGAATGCTTTTAAACATGTATATGTGAGTGTGTTTAAATATTAACTTGGTATTTTTCCCTTTTCCAGACAAGTTTATTCCGGCACAGTTATTTCTTATCTCGAACGACTGCATGGCACTTTTCTGGGAAGAGCTGAAGCATATGTCATACTATCGGCGAGTTGACGTCGATGAGCTTGTTTATCACGAATTTGGTTCACATCATCTCTGATAGTGATAATAATATCCCCTTTTTACGCTTGTATGGAACCGCCCGTCATTGACCCCTTTCAAGCTGGCGACGATGTGAAAGAAATGCCCGAGAGATAAACCCTTATCTGACTCCAATGTACCCGAATTAATCGCTTTTCATTGTTGTATCCCCGGTCCACAGGTTATGTTTGTTCTGCAGGTTTTTCAAATCTCTGCCTCGAAACGCCATTAATAAGGTGGATTTCATATCTCTTTCTCCATTATCTTGATGGATCGATATTTAGCTATTTATGCTCTTCTTCGCAATGGAGGATGAGAATGGTGGTACCACATCTGCTTGCCCCGTTGACATCGAAACTCTCAATGCCCTCATGTATAACCAGCTTCGGAAGGGTGATGGAAGAACAGATACTCCCCTTCGTCCACCTCGCATTCCTTCTGGCTTGGATTCTATCGCCAAGCTACTTGCATCTCAAGCGAACGGCGATATGATAGCCACTGCTGTACAAATTGACGAACCACACCAGGAAGTTATTCTATCTATATCTTCAAACAACTTGATCCAAGTAGAGACGCTGGGTTATATACATCATGTATTTCTCCAACTTCAAAAAGTCGCTATTGCACGCCATAAACATGATATACGGATCCAGAAAAAGGACGGTTTTTATCTGGGTTGTCTCATACGGGCGAGGAGTAAAAATGAGCTTACTCCTCTACAGAGTCAAATCAGAAATGTCCATCGTGCTGTCTATATGTTCGCTTTTGATAGTCTGATACGGCGAATTCTAAAACCATTGGGTGCGGACTCGAGCGGCTTAGTGCAGCTCTATAAGTGTACTCAGGATGTTGTCACGGTGATAACGTATGCAACTAGGCCACTCCTGCTTACTATACGGTGCCTTTTAAAATGGGTAGCCCAAAATGTCCTTCAGCGTGGGAAAGAGACCTTAAACAATAGTCGGGTGTTGTCGTTGTTCCTCTGCGCTATGCAACTTCTGGTCGACGCTGTCAAACAGCTGTCGGAAAATTATTTCATGCGGCGGGAACTGTCATACATTGGTCAAGATGCAGGTATGTTTATGGTGTATCTACCTTAATGGCTTAGTACCATTTTCGTTTGCGCTTCTGTTATATTAAAATCTTGTCCCACTACTCCCTATTCATCATATCAAACCGAAAGTTGTCACTCATGGAATGCAATAGGTTTCGACATATATGACTATCTTAGAAACGTCATTGCCATTCCCCGCTCTATTGAAATCCTTGTTCGGTACGCTAGATCCCGAATATACAGCTCCTTTTTTATGGACAAAAGGCTACGGGTGAACATCGTCCAAACACTGGAGCGCTCGTTCACCCTGCCGTCCACTTTAACCGCCTGGAACACCGTCGCTCAGAAAGCATCTCATGTTGCGAACATCCCAATACCCAGCTCTATGAGGCTCTCTGGCAGCGGTGATTCTAGCATCGGCTCCAGGAAATCTGAGGTCAAGCATCGCATTCATCCCGAATGTGCTATTGCTCTCCATTTTCTTCTCAATCGAATCCAGAACAGGGGTATTATGAATACCAACACCATTCGGAATTTCTCCCGCCAAAAATACATACCCCCAATCAGTTTCATTGGGACTAGCACCCACGTCTGCAACATGTGTTTCTACTTTTTAGAGAGCTTGATACCTGCCACTAGTGTTATTTTCCGGGTGACTAGATCGCGGATGGATATATTTCCATGGGGTTTCCCTGTTGTGTCGGAGGAGGGAAAGGATTTTGAAGGGATCATGATGACGGCCAAGGAGAAGAGTAGGGTGGATAGGTTGAAGGATCGTATTGCGGAGGAAATGTTTAGGAGGGTGAGCAGGGATTACATGTCTATATTGGTCTTAAAGGACGAAAGGGGGCATAGTGCGGGAGGGGGAAAGAGGAAGAGAGAAGATGATGAGGAGAGTGGAGGGGAAGGGGATCGTGTAAAGAGAGGGAGGGAGGGAGAGGGGTCGACCTAAGTGTAAGGTGGTGGGAGAAGATGAATTGAACTCCATTCTTGTGTAGTCATGCTATTTTTATAGTGGAATTTTCAGAACTTGTTTTCGATGTTCGATCAGAATAACTATGCTGCTTCTGCTTATTTTCGACAACCCTTCCACGTCCTCCTCATCACTCACACTTCTTCTTCTCTAATTTATTTTCCTCCGTTGGAAGTCGGTCACCCTACCTAGGACATAGGGGCTTATTTATGTATTATTGGGTTGATCATTCGAGAACATAATTAAATGTAACCAACGGGCAGTAGCTGGATATGTTCTTGGTTTTTGACGCAATGCCTTACGTAACCTGAGTTCTTTCGAGTTCAAAAAATGTCTTAAGTGGCGTTTCCAAGGCCAACAGCCCCTTTTCCTCTGGTGCTGGCAGCTGGAGTCAAGAGATTGATGTTGGCATGGCTTTTAACCTGCGTGGGACTTAATAAAGGAGCTATGTAGTTTAGTTGAGTTATGACTATCCACGTGACATCAGTCGTTGGTTCAGGCTTTCTTTCTTGACACCCTTCCGAGCCTGACTTGGAATGTCATCTCATTATTTGTCTGATACAACCACACATTATCAGTTACGCATATGCGTCATAGTTGAAAATCTTTGCTTACATCAACCTCCCAAGATCACTGTTATTTTTGGAGAGCTAGCTGTTTGAAATAGGAGTGCTCCGACGTACGCCCCTCGCGACATTGGGCCGGAATGGATATGCGCATCAGTGCCCAATTGCCCAACTTAATGCCATGATATTCCCTGCCCAATCCTGAGGACAACCACTCATTGGTCATCTGCGGTTCTTGCTCCTTGGACATTGCAGACTTTGCTCATGGCTACGTGCATTGCCGGCGTAGCAGAGAAATTGCTGGGTAGTTGGCGGTTCAAGTTGATCCCTGTCGACGACCAGAAGGCCGCCGCAGCAAATCCGACATGTTTGGATGCGGAGACATGTTGGAACCGCCTGGTTGCGATTTAAGATGAGATCTCGTGAGCTTGTTTTCCCGTGCTGTTTGCATCACAGTATCGTTATTGGCCATGGGGGCGACCACTGTGCTAACATTTTCAACCGACTATCCTGTCACCGTCTCCCTTGCGACATATTTCTAGCCGACAGGAACACACTAATGAAGCTATTGTTATGATCGGACACGGTTAATGGAAAGTACCTTGGCTGGATGTTGATCCCTACTCGAGGCAAGCCTTTCAACTGCTTTATTTCTTGTCGTTGCTGCCCAAACTAAGTCTCAGCTCCGCCTCTTCACAATCTCTTTGGCTCTTCCAAACCAGCTGCTGGTGTCCTTTATTATGTCCTCTACACGCTCTTTTGCTTTTGGGATTACACTAGGGACATATTGACTGCCAATCGCAGCCGCACATTTGGAGTTTAAACCGGGTTACGCGAAAGCGCTCACATTTGGTTTCCGATGGACAGCACTCCCCAGTTGTATGGAAATTAGGAGAACATAATCTTGTGCATTGAGCTGATTTGGCGGTGTAACCTCGTTCCGTTGCCCTTTTGTGTCTCCCGCTTGATTTTCCTCAGGCATTGTACTGGAGGAATTCAACAAACCTGACATCATCCATATCGGTTCCTACACATATGTTCTCCATCTGCGACATTGGAACTGAGAAACTGAGATAAGATGACATTTTTTAAACGTTGCTTCTAAAATTATTGTTTTCCGGACCGACTTCGATCTTCACTGGTGTTATAACCAATCTGTGAAGCTCTCCTGCTGTGGAGACTCTTGTTTCGTCTTGGTGGCCTCAAGGCCAATTACTTCTCGTCTCCGCGGCTACCTTTATATCTAATACGGTATATAACGCCTCTTTCACCCCTACTGCTGCTTTCTGACTTACTCTTAGATATTGATTGATGTCCATTGAACGTGGCCCCCAATTATGTCTTATCAAGGATATTACCACTACCAAGGGAGGGCGGCAGATACTGACCTGAAATATTATCCGGTCAGCAGTGAGATAGCTATTTTTCCCCCTTCTCGAAGGTTAGTGAAACAGTCATGGAGCGGAGCTGGCATTCTATCGAAATACAAATATACTCATTAAGTCACGTTAGCTCGAGTGGCATGAATCGAGAATATGAGCCACAGGCGTATAGGCCAGCACCAGGGGTTTCCGGACTGTACCACTCTAGGTAGATCTGGATTTTCCACGATAACCCACTCGACATGGACACTGAGATCTTGACATTTAATTTAGTAGAAATAGGACATATCCATCGTGGGAGCTTTCTCGAGAGACATTGGGAGCCGTTCGATCACCCGATCAAGGAAGACTGAATGAATCGCCTATCTTATACAGTAACTCTGGTAGAATACCCACCACTACCCCGCCTTACGACCGATATTCAAATGTTTCCACCGCTCCCAACTTGGGATCAATTGGACAACAGCCACATCCTTCCGCTGGTGGAGATATAGATACTCATCTAGTGCATCCTTCTCATGACTTGATGATGCGAGACCCTAAGTCTCCAACTTTCGAGCAATTTAATTTCTTTCATTATCATTCGAAGAGACGCGCACCGGAAAACACAAAAAGCATTGCCAAATATCACCCACAGAGGCGGCTTTTCAACCGCGATGAGTTTGATGGTCCCACTCAGTTTTTAGATATGCCTTCCCCAAGGACTATTGCGGAACAGGAAAAAGATTTACCTCGCCTACCCACCAGTTTGGATGTGCAAGAGCAGGACAAAATCCTCTGTGAAGTTAATGATCGTTTAGCCAAATGTGCTTTCAATTTTGTTGCAAAATATCGATTTCCTATTCCTGTGGAACCAGACAAGAGACAGGTGAGAACACCAGCCGACCGGGAATGGACCGAATGGGTACACCTTTTGAAACGGTTAGCTACCAAGCGCCGAATTCCTGCCAGAGTTCTTTATAATGGCCAGATCAAGCAGTTTGTGACAGTCCTGGAGAATTCCTTGGAAATGCGCCATGCTGCAAAGCATCAATCAAGGCCAGTGAAAGATGATAGGAACGTCCTACAGCTCATATCCGCGGGCACTCAGGTTGCAAAAATTCTCAAGGATGCTTCCGCAATGGAATATTTAGACCAGCTATACGGAGGAACTGAAAACTTAATTCGGGACCGGCGCGCCCAGCGCGGAGAACTCTTTATCTATTCCTGAAATGCAGCCAAGCTTGGTAAAGTGAACGAAAATATCGTGGTTTCTTACTTCTGTTTTAACTGTTTAACTTTCTATCCAAGGATCGATACCCCAAAAAGCAACATTGACCCGACGTCTTGATGTTAAGTTCTTGGCAAGAAGTGGTTTTCGATCCTTTGATTATTTGATGTATTCCCTTTTTTGACAGTTTACCGGGCTATCCAACTGACGATCATTTCCTGGTTCATCTGTGCATAAGTCAATTCGCCACAATCTCCGCGGTCTGGAGTTCTCATATCGCACGATCTGTTTTCTATCTGGATCTTGGTGTGATAACAATAATCACTCCTTCAAAAACTCACATTTTGCCTTCGTCCCTATGCTCCCAAGACCAGCTCCATGGGCGAAGTACAACACATTTTCTAAACAGTTAACTTGATATTTTACTTCTCCCACGGTGTTTGGAGAAATTGAAGTTGAGTTTGTGCTTCTTGTCCCTGTTTCCTACTGGCTTGACTGTCGCTGAGAGCTATCTCTTCATCCACGTTGTTTAGAATGTATATTCTTTCATTCAAAGAAACAACTTTCTTACTCGTCGAACTTCCCACCCTATTTTCTTGGACAGATATATATATATACTGCGCGCACGTATATCTCAAGTGGAGATCAAAAACTGGGACAACGAAATGTCTGTCCGATCCCTCAACTGGTCCATTATTTCCATCTTCTCCTGCATATCCATACATACGTATCTGCATTAATATTTTTTTGGAAGCCTTTTCTGCCACGGTCTACTACGGTTTTTCTATTTTATTTCTGTTCTTGCTGCTTTGTTTTCTGTGATTTGACGTATTGGATATAATTTCTAATGGCGGGTATGCTACAATTTTGCACTACACTGTACTGTATGTGGTTCAACTTCTCTTGTGGCATCAATTCGTGGTTTGCTCCATTCTTCTCTTTCCTTTCCTTCCGCATGTGGACTTTCTTTTATCTTGGAAAAATGATTGATTATTGTATCCGCCAAGATTGCCCATATATCACACATTTGCTCACACTGGTTCGTTCATTTTCCTTGTATATAAGCAAACTTCATTCAATTGGTATATCAAATCTTAATACCGAATAATAATCATTAATAACTACACAATAGTTTGGGTAATGTTATTACATATGTTGAATACACCCATGTATCATCGTGTTGTTCATCATACTTGAAAAGAAGCAAACCCGCGAGAATACTCGCACAAATCAATATTTCAATTCAGAGTCCACGTACGCACCTAATCCCGCAAATCAACAGTTGGAAAGCTCGCGCCTCAGGAATCTCTCTACCAAAAACTCCTCATTAACTTCCCCAACCGCTCCCACCACATCCCTTTCCAACCCAAAAACCCTCCAGCACCAATAACCGAAGCCAGCATGAGTGTCAACACACGAACTAGAATCCGGCCCTGCTGCTTTGCCTTCATTTCAATCTCTGAATAGCGTTCATTGCTAAAACTCACGCGGGCATACTGGGTTGACCATCCCAGAATTGGGATGCGTCGGTACAGGGTCTCTTCAACATATTTGCGCAGAAGATAGAGCGGCGATGTCACCCCCCAACGCATTTCAAGGTAGTTACGGCGTGACAGATCATTGATAGCGTGCGCATCGGGGGTGCGTTCGCAGGTGTATGCATCTAGAGCGGCAGCGCGGGCGGTGTCGATGTTGATGTTCCCTTGCGATTTTTGGGAAGACGGGTGTCCATACACCCCTTGCTGCTCGAGGTACTCAAAGAGGATGCGTACATCCTCGAGTCCGGCATTCAGACCCTGCCCATAGAAGGGTAGCATGGCATGGGCGGCATCGCCAATGATCACGACACTGGAGCCAAAGTGGTATGGTGAGCATTTGATACTGATAAGTGGTAGGTGCGGGTTCGTTCTAAACTGCTCTTGTAGGGCGGATGGCGAGATGAGCTCCGGAGACACGCCAGGGAAGTTTTTGTTGAAAAATGCGAGGAGGGTGTCCGGCTCCTTTTCCAGGGCAGCAAATTGCGCTTCTGGCGCGAAGAGAGTGCAAGTGAACGTTTTATTCGGCGAAGGAAGCGCAATGAACATGAATTCCCGTCCGGGCCAGATGTGTAGGTGGTCTGGCGAGATAGCGAAATCATTTGTATCTGCCGTTGGCGCGATGTGGAACTCGCACCAGAGTACATCGACGTATTCTTGCTGGTAATTCATGGGGACGTACTTCATGAGATGATACCTGGTAGCGGAATGTGCGCCATCAGCACCTATGAGGAAGTCGAAAGGAACTTCGATCTCTGGTGCTCGGGTGACAGCAATAGATTTGCCGTTTTGCGTAGTAGTGGTGGCTGCCCCTGTGGGATCATCGACGTTCTTTCGCTCGAACCAGGCCTTTTTGTTTTTGAAATCGGCGCCCGTTAGCTTATGGTTGAAAAAGATTTTCACGTTGGGCGTGTTCTCAAGTTCGTCAAGCAGGATCTCGTTGAGGCGGCCACGGTCCATGGCATTGTTGTACTGAAAGTTCTGATATTAGTGACGGCCATTGTTGGGTATTTCATGGGTATGGATGATGGATGCTCTTTGTGAAATTTTAAATTAAAACCTTACCCTGCCGTGAACATCATAGGGCTGGGATTCCTGTGTGAGCTTGCCCAATTGGTTCTTTCTATGAACCATGCGGGCGTACATGGGAACGGTTTCCTTGAGAATCGCATCTATAAATCCAGGGCGCTTGATCCGCCTCATCGTATTGATGCCGCGTTCCGCAAGGGCCACATTGATAGACTTGGTGAAATTCAGGGGGGTGGTCGAGGGATTGCGGAGGTCTATGCATTTTGACGTTTGTTATATTCTTTTCAATGGCGGCATAGCCAATTGGGAAAGGGGGCAACATGAAAGGAAATAAGTTTTTTTTTAAAAAAAAAAAAAATCTTGATATGAAAGGTCCGTATCTGTTTTACCAGACAAAGTAGAGATTGTCAAGCTCCCCTTTACACATCTAACTTAACAAGGTAATATCTCGATTGATCAAACAAATCCGGCAGTATTCAGCAGAGTCCTGGCCTTCCTCCATCCAAGGGAACGTTACATACCTCCACGCAGTTCATATAGTTCAACAATGTCGCCTCGCTCGGCGGCGTAGAGGGCGGCTAGAGACCCAACAGGGCCTGCACCGACAATGACAACCTTTTGCTTTGTTTCTGCCATATCTGCCTAAACTGTTGAGTAAATATTGAGTACAACCAGAAGGATACGACGTTAGTATTCAGCTCGAGGAGGTACAACTAACTACATTTAAATAAATAAGCCCTTACTCATTCCCCCACCCCCCCCGGCAAAGGACCCTGGGGATAGTTTATCTCCGCTGGGGACCGGGGCTTGTTTGGTCTGCAAAGGGAGTCAAAAAGTCGACTTGGCGAAATCCTTTAGGGCAGGATCTTGCACGTGATGCGCGTTGATTGTGGAACGATTTGACGCGCGTTTGTAGAAGGCTGGCAGCGGCTACCGCGGCAGGTCGCGATGATGGGTTTCTTCCACCCAAGACTTTTTCTCCACTCGAGAAACTTGTTGTCAGTGGACGATTCTCTGGAGATTTTTATTCATTCAATATCCTCAGGAATAATCTCAGCGCCACAGCTGTACTCGTCGTTGTTGGTTTTAGAAATAGCTCCCCGAGAAAGCAAAGAAAGTAAGGCATAAGTTACCCTTCTTCGAAAGGAGTTCGTCGAACCTCGCAGTTCGTTTGGACCTGCCCACCGCGATGGCGTTCACGCAGCTGGACTCCAAAAAGTGCATAGGGTTGGACTGCAGTAACAATGCTGGATCCCTACGGTGCCCGACATGCATGAAAATTGGCATTGACAGTCATTTCTGCTCTCAGGACTGTTTCAAGAGGAATTGGGTACGTCATCATCATCCTCAAATCTCTTCCAGACAGAATACCAAGCTGACTGGAGCTTTCATCCTGCAGAGTGAACATAAAGCTATTCACAAAAAGAGTAATTTTCTAAGCAACCTTTTTCCACCGAAAATAGTTTCTGAACCAGATCCAGCTACCGGCCACTTCAATCCGTTTCCAACCTATCCTTTCACTGGCGCCTTGAGACCCGTATACCCACTTGCTCCTAAAAGCACAGTTCCTGATTCGATCCCTCCACCCGATTATGCAAGAGACGGTATCCCCAGATCAGAACAGAAAATCATCGGCCGACATAATATTACGATTCTCAATCCTCAGGAACAGGAAGGAATGAGGAAAGTGTGCCGTTTGGCGAGAGAAGTGCTCGATATTGCAGCCCGAGAGATCAGGCCTGGCGTTACCACCGACCACATCGATAAGTTAGTTCACCAGGCTTGCTTGGAGCGAAAAGTCAGGAACCAATTCACTCCGCTGCTATCCGCAAAAATCTGTGTTAAAACTAATCAAAACAACTATCGCAGTCCTATCCGTCACCATTGAACTATGTCCACTTCCCAAAATCCGTTTGCACTTCGATCAACGAAGTTATCTGCCACGGAATTCCCGACCAACGTCCCTTGGAAGATGGAGATATTATAAATATTGACGTCACACTCTACCATGAGGGCTTTCATGGAGACCTGAACGAGACATATTACGTTGGAGAAAAAGCCCGTACGGATCCCGACACTGTTCGGGTCGTAGAGACGTCGAGAGAATGTTTAGACAAGGCCATTGCACTGGTGAAGCCGGGCATGTTATTCCGAGATCCAGGTAATGTCATTGAGAAACATGCGAAGCAAAATAACTGCAGTGTGGTTCGGAGCTACTGTGGACACGGCATCAACCAGCTCTTCCACACAACACCAAGCATCCCTCACTATGGAAAGAGTAAGACTGTTGGGCAAGCGAAGGCCGGAATGTGCTTTACAATCGAGCCTATGATTAACTTGGGCACATACCGAGACAAGACCTGGCCGGACAATTGGACCAGCGTCACCGCAGATGGAATGAAATCAGCTCAATTCGAGCATACGTTGTTAGTTACCGAAGATGGAGTTGAAGTGCTGACGGCTAGATTGCCGGACTCTCCTGGTGGCGCGATTCCTAGGATCGCTGTTGACGGAGAGGCGACATCACTATGAGTGTGTCATAAGACCGCTGTTCTCTCTTCTTATTACCTGTTTTAGAACATTGCGTGGCCATCATGAATTTATGGGACACCACCACTGCCATCTTTATTCCACTTTAATTTGAACATGCCTTTTTTTTTTTTTTTTTTTTTTTTTTTTTTGGGTTTTATTTCGTTGATCAAGCATAAACTTGTAAAGATAACATGGGTAAGGGGGAGCGGGGAAGTAAGATTGGAAATAACAGAAATCCTTTTATCAACGGCCTTCGCGTGGATTAAAATATGTGACTGTGGAGTCCGGTCTCCCAATTGACCGGCATATAATAACCATGGGAAGTGATATATATCTCGGAACTTGGTGGGGCCTACCACATCGCTGTCCGGAAACAACAACTAATTGCTACTAGGGCTGAGGGCTGAGGGCTGAGGGCTTAGTAACCCACTTATCATCACGTGTCTCGTTATCGTGGTTCGGGGAGTTTTGACCCCTTCGAGGTGGGTGAACATCGTAGTAACTTTCTTTTTTACTCCGGTTAAAAAAAAAAAAATAAAAATAAAAATAAAAAATAAAAAAAATAAAAAAAAAAAAATTTTCCGTCTCGTTGCTGCCAACGCCTCAGCTCGTCTTAACCTGTTCCTGTTTACTATGAGAATATGAGAAATCCGATGTTAGCTTCTGTTAGCGGAAACTCTGGACCATCGGAGAGGTCGCCTCTACTCGGCAATGATGACTCCTCCAAGCATCCGCACACTGCGCAGTCGGTTCTCAATGGACAGGATGAAGAAGCTGTAGGCCAAAATGAGTCTGACTCTGCTCGTGAAGCCCAATTCAGTGGTCTACCTGACGCGCAAATGAAACTGAAATATATCGTGCCAGCAGTGTCGATTGGGGTGAGTGTGCCCCTCCCCCACAGATATTATCAAAATCTTCCCCTCCAATTAATTTAAATCGTGCGAGCCAGGCCAACAAAATTTTGACATCTATGTGTAGATATTCCTTGGAGCGGCAGACCAGACAATCATCGTATCCAGCTACGGAAAGATTGGAAGTGACCTGCAAGCTCTGAATTTGACGAGCTGGATTGCGACCTCATACTTCCTGACCCTCACCTCCTTCCAGCCGCTCTATGGCCGTCTCAGTGACATATTCGGCCGCAAGTCATGCCTCCTTTTTGCATATGCTGTGTTCGGAATTGGGTGCATCTGCTGTGGCCTCGCCAGGAATATTGAGGAGCTGATTGCTGCGAGAGTAATTCGTCGCCATGAATTAATTGACAATCAATCACTCCGTTTCCTCACACTGACAGATTTATACAGGTGTTCCAAGGCATTGGAGGTGGGGGGATGACAACTGTCGTAAGCATTCTTATGAGCGATATCGTCCCTCTGCGTGATCGCGGGGTCTGGCAGGGCATCATTAATATCATATGGGCAACCGGGAGTGCAGTTGGGGCACCATTAGGTATGTCCTCTCTCGCATCCGCTTTCTTTTCAATGATTTTAAAAGGAGCCGGCACGTTGACTTTGAGACAGGCGGTATTTTGGCAGACTATATTGGCTGGCGATGGTAAGTATCTGCTCTCATGTTCACACACAAGGATAAGAAATTAGAGAGAAATAAAAAAAAAAAAAAAAAAAAAAAAAAAAAAAAAAAACAGGAACTCATTATTCTCTCTGAAGGGCTTTCCTCCTCCAGGGTCCAATATGCCTGCTAGCCTTCATATCCGTGGCGTTTATACTACATCTGCCCGTACAGGAAGAGGCTCACTGGCTCCAGAAACTCCGCCGAATAGATTTTCTAGGGGCGTTAACCCTTGTCGGCGCAGTATTTGCATTCCTCATCGGAGCAGACAGGGGTAGCAATGTCTCTTGGTCTATCCCTATAACTATCGTATCCATGTGCCTGGCAGCCGTTCTCTTTATTATTTTCCTCTGTGTTGAAGTCTGGGTAGCCTATGAGCCTTTCGCCCCGAGTCATATAATCTTTGAAAGGGGCCTATTCGCTTGCTATGCATGCAACTTTTTTAGTTTCGCCGGATATATAGGGGTTCTTTTTTACTTCCCCCTATATTTCCAGGCCACAGAGGGCGTTTCTGCCACCGGGGCTGGCATCAGACTCTTACCGTCTATTTTGGCTGGTGTCTCTGGCTCCTTGTTTGGTGGTGTCGTAATGAAAATGACAGGCAAATATTTTTGGATCACAATCGTGGGCTACTGTCTTCTAACTATAGGAGTTACTGTCACATTCCTTTGGTCTGGAGTTGTTGCTCGAAGCGCCGCCGGAATTATCGCTGGAATGTGCGTCGCATCATTTGGAAATGGAATCAGCATAACCACTACGTTAATTTCCTTGAGTGAGTTCCCCCCCCTTGCCTCTAGAATTATTCTCTTGTTAACTTGAGGTCAATGTAACCGTCCTAACATACATCTAGTTGCATGTGCTACCCCTCAGGACCAGGCAGTGGCAACAGCATGTTCTTATCTGTTCCGATCATTGGGTTCAGTAATGGGACTTGCATTCTCGTCCACGGTTGTCCAACAATCTCTCAGAACTTGCCTACGCTCTGTTCTTGGAAACAATAAGGATATCGATAAGATCGTCAACGGCGTACGCCAGAGTCTGGACTTTATCAACACTCTCGATCCACGGACACAGCGAATAGTGCGAGATTGCTATGGGCATGCTGTGAACTTTTCATTTGGCCTTTCAACTATTGTCGTCATTTTCACGGTAATCAGTGCCTTTCTTATCCGTGAAAACGCTCTCAGCCGTTGATGAGAGGTCGGTAACGCAACGGTATTGCTCTTTCATGTCATTCGTCTCTCATTACGTTGAGCTCCGGGTTAAAGCTCTAACTACATATTTTCCGACACATTTCGGTTCTTCCGCGAAGTCGTGCCATTGGTTTTCGGGAGTATTTCAGTGGATCACCTCCTTTGCACATATTTAGCACTAGAGTACAGGAAAGATTCTAACGTTTTTATTATTTTTTCTCTCTGTCTATCCAGCAAGCTTTCGGGTTTTCAAAAGGTCCATTAACATGGTTACGGTGTTTGTTCAATCGCCAATCAAAAAGCATGAATTTGTGCTAGAAAATGTCGGGAGGTCGTGGTGCTAGAGGTTAGAGCAGAGCAAGCAATAACTAGTTGCATCTTGAACCGTTATTGGTTTTCATGACTGACAGGGGCTTCGAAAGCGATCATTTCTTTCCTTTTGAAGTATTTTAGAATACTTCAACCATGCATCAACAATGCCTCAATTATAATTTCTAAAATTGATTGATGAATAGTAGACAGATTTTCACCAAGGACAGGTAAGGCTGATGGGTTGTACTCATGTAAATCTTTAATTTGCTAAATTAAATATCACGAAGAACGTTTTTCTTCATTATTATGGGAGAAAGATGAAAGTTGAAGGCCGTTTTGAAGGAGTGAAAAATAAAAAAAAGTTAATTATCTCTGGTTGAGCCCAGTGGCGAGCCAATAACCGTCAACCCCAACTACGTATCTCTGGCTCAACCCCAAAACCAAACCGATCCGAACTGAACTTTAAGCGTCAAAAAAAGTGCACCCTGCTACGGTAGCCTTTTATATCCAACTTTTGTTATAGAGCTCCAGAGCTCGCAACCTGTATAGCTCGCTTTCTACAATGCCGGCTAAACACGAAACTAATTCACATCAGTACTGATGTTCGTGGACCTTCATGCTTGAATGATGTCCACCCACTGACCCTCTGCGTTCCGGTAAACCGACCATACAATGTCGTCCGAGATCTCTTCTCACCCAACTTCTCTCGCGAGATTTCGCCCTGCGATATATCTCCTGACGGGTGTAGCAGCTGCATACGCTATCTTTTATGCTCATAGCCGCTATATTACCTCCCAGTCCGATACATCTTTACATCGTCGTAATGCCGTCCGGAGGAGAGCCACGAGGCGCCGCGGCGGCATTTCGCTCCCCAGTGGCGAGTCGCGTGTGCCGCACGACTTCTCAGGACATATAATGGCGCTTGAACAGTTAGAAAGAGCAGGACAGGCTTACGGGACATTCCGGATGGAGATTGAAAATGGCCGCGCCATTGAGTGCCGCCTCATGCCGTCGCAGCTACCGTCTGTCGATCAGATTGAACAGCAGCTCGAAGCTTCTCGAGATCACGCACTTTTTATACGATCCGTTATGGAAAATGCCTTTCTCGATAACTTTTTCGCTGTGGAATTCCGGCCTTCGCATACTATTCGCTTTGATACAGGAGAATGGCAGTACCTGGCAAACGAGCTGCTGGACCGTGGGCTTTCTGAAGCCAACGTCACGGCTGCAATTACAAGGTTCAACGAGTCTGACGATTTTGGCGAGGAGCTAAGGCGCCGGAGACGGAATGGCGAGTCAATACGCTTGACGGGGCCTGGAACAAGCCTCCTCAACCCCACGGATCCACCGCCGCCAGCGGTACCAGCTCCTGAGCAAGCGGACACCTTGGATGATCAGAGCATTTTTTCGTGGAGAGACGGAAATGACGATGGCGCCCCAACCCGCGAAGGACAGAATTTGCTGAATTTGCTCTATCATATTGCTGAGGACCAAGCACGGCGAGACGGCTATATTCATCGAGGAGTGACATGTAATAGCTGTGGGGCGATGCCAATTCAGGGAGTAAGGTATCGATGCGCTAACTGCATCGACTACGATCTCTGCGAAACATGCGAAGCTATGCAGGTCCACATCAAGACGCATCTCTTTTACAAAGTCCGAATTCCTGCCCCCTTCCTAGGTAACCCACGACAACCCCAGCCCGTTTGGTATCCAGGGAAGCCAGCTATGCTCCCTCGTAGCCTACCACGGAACCTCGCCAAAAGGCTCATGAAGGAGACCAATTTTGAGAATACAGAGCTGGATGCGTTGTGGGATCAGTTCCGATGTCTAGCAAATGTCGAATGGGTTAATGATCCCAATAAGCTAAATATGGCAATCGACCGCAAGACATTTGACCGATGCTTTGTACCAAATACCTCAATCCGGCCTCCACCCCCGAGTCTTATATATGACCGAATGTTTTCGTTCTACGATACGAATGGAGATAATTTGATCGGGTTCGAAGAGTTTTTAAAAGGGTTAGCAAGTTTCAGTAATAAAAGTGTTCATGAGAGACTGAGGCGTATATTTGAGGGTTACGATATTGATAGAGATGGTTACGTGGAAAGGAAGGATTTTCTTCGAATATTCAGGGCTTACTACACTCTGAGCAGAGAGTTGACTAGGGATATGGTAGCTGGGATGGAAGATGATTTCTTGGAGGGTGGTACGAGAGATATTATCCTAGGTAGCCAGCCAATATCTTCTGCGTTCCCAGGAAATATCCCACATGGGGAACCTTCGAGGATCGGTGAAGGCAAGCGTACGAATTTGTATGGCGATATGGAGATCATCGACAACGAAGGGATTTTGCGAGAAGATGGGGATGACACTGGCGATAGGAATGCTGTTATTGGAGATGCCGCAGTGAGGGATACATACGGGCGGACCCGTCCGCTCTTCGCATCCAGGCTACGTTTGCCTGACCCACCCTTTTACCGACCTCGCAGACGTAATGGTCGGCATCGTAGAGAGCCTAATGAAGAAGAGTATGGTGATGAAGAATATAATGACGGACATGATTCCGATTCATACCCGGGCAGCTACAGCGAGTGGCCTAACGATCAGGTACGCCCTGAAGACGTAATTAATGCGTTAGGAACCTACGTACCCCTGGATGAAATCACCGATCCGGTTGATAGAGCTAGGGTTGCCACTTGTGCGATGCAGAGGCTCGATGAAGCAGATCGCGAACGGATACAACGGATAAGACGAGAAGGAGTTGACGAAAGATGGGCAAGGCGGACTTTCTATACTGATGAGGAAGATGGTGCTACCCCACCTGCCGGATACCATGACGCAGAAGGCCTCCAAGAAGTCGTAGATGATTTTGACCACCGGCCACTTGAGGAGTCGCACCCTCCTACTCCACGATCGAGATCATCATCTAAGGTTCGCTTCCAGGACGACATCACGGATAACGACTACGAGACTAGGTCGAATCAATCAACTTCGTCCCGGAGCATCCCAGTTGCTGAACGCTGGGGTGGGTTTGAGATTCCTGAAGCCGAGAAGGATGTCGGCAAGGAAGTGCTGTACCAAGTTACCCAGCAGGGCCTTAACGAACTTTTAGATCTCATATTCAAACCGAAAGAAGATCTCTTGATGGAAGCACGTCGAACCAAGACTGAGAGAAAGCGATGGGTGAAGGAGATCAATAACTTTATTGCATCTCTCCCTAAAGGTCATTACCTACGAGAGGGCGCTGATATTGAAAAGCAAGAGGAAGAGCTCGCCCAGGAGGAAGGTGAAGTAAAACCAACCCCCCAACCGAAGGAAAGGCTCCTCAAACAGGAACTGGAAGATGCAGATTATACTTTCATGGGCCGCGGAGGCGTTATCGACCGCTCCGCATCTCCCTCAGGAGAAGATGACGTAGCAAACCACCACGAAACCCCTTGCGAATCCCAGGATATCCTAGATCCTACTCTCCCTCAGAACCTCCCTAACGACTCAGATCTGGAACCGTTTCACCCAGCTCCGGAAGGCTCAGACTTTGCTGAGTATGTGGAAGATGCATATGAAGTAGCAGAGATGTCCTTCACGCCCCCAGATCCAACCCTTCCCCAGAACCGTCCAGACAGATCCGCGTCAGGCCGAAGTCTCCATATAACTGAAGTCTCCAGCTCCACGACCATTCCATACGGCCACTCCATGTTCGAGAATTCCCCCGTATATGAGTCTGCCTCAACATCCACCTCCGTCTCAGCCCAACAACAGTCACAACAGCGACGCTCCCAACACTCTCGCCCTCCGCGGGCACGAAACCAGTCCCTCCCTCTCCGTCTCCGTTTTCAGCAATCGGTGTCGTCATCCCCCCGTCGACAACAGCTCCTCTCCGTCACAGGGGACTATGATCGTTCTCATTCTTCCCTTTCTATCTCTCCGCCGCCATCACCTTCCTCATCGTCTCTTGACGATAACAACAAACAACCCCTCCCGCCTTCACCGCCACTTCCTCCATCTCCGAAGACGCTGGCACGATGGAGCAGGTTGAATCAAGTGGAGAGGGAAGCCAAGGCACGTGGCGGGTCCGGGGCTAAGTTGAACTTCGAGGAGTTCACGATGAGAATGCAGGGGGAGAGGGGAAGGAGATTAGGTTTTGTGGCGAGTTGGATCGATATGACGAGTTTTTAGATACGAGAAAGGGAAATTTTTATCTCGACACTCCTTTCTGGTAGGAGCATGGGGAGGAGTGTTGAGGAGTGTTGTTGATATCTTGATATATATGCTCAAAACGCTCTTTGGGTTAGCTGTTACTCTTTGCAGTTGCTAGGGAAGAATTTACTGATTTCGGTGGACTTTTTATAAAATGAATGGAAGATGGTGGAAAACGTGACTTTGGTGCAATAAAATGGAAGTGGACAACGGAGCCGTGCTGGGTCGCGATATGAAAAATCTCCCCTTCTCCGTTTCTGGCGTCCTTTCAGTATTCATGGGAGCAGATGAAAGCAATTCTGCTGTACCAGTATTCCTTGTCAGTTATTCCACGCATTACTGGCATGGGGTTCCAGCGTTTGTGTTTTCCTGCTTCCGCCAGTGGCGTCATCTTGCTTGTTTTCCTATATCCAAAAGAATTTAGCGAGTGCGTTACTTTGCAATTGACACGTTCACTTTTTATGTAGATATAACTAACTTATTTGAGATTGAGTAGCCCTTTATTTCCAGGGATACTAAGATAAAGTTGAAAAAAAATTGTTAATGTTTTAATGTGACCAATATTAACCGCATAATACGTAAAGCAAATAATAAGAAAAACACCAACAATCCGTAGCTTATATAAAGATGAAAATTGGGAGGGAGACATGTCCTTAAAAAAATGAAGAAAAAAGGATGAAGAAAAAAAGAAGAAGGGAAAATAGAAAATAGCAACTCGCCATCCCAATCCAATCTAAACCTCAATCCCAATACTTAATAACGCCTTCCAGCCCCGCCGTAGCAACTTTACTAGTCTCTTGAGGATGCCACTCCACACACGTAATCGCAGATCCTTCCTTTCCCCCCGCCATAATCTTATGCCACATCTTCCCAGTCTTCCAGTCCCAGAAACACACATACCCCCCACTATCTCCAGACGTGACGAACTGTCCATCAGGACTAATGGCAACGTCAATGGCGTACCCAGCATTATTATGCCCACGGAAAATCTTCTTGCGATTCTGCCGGAACTTATCCGTCGATGCGTACACAACGATCTGATTGTCGCCGGATTGAAAAGCGACGTATTTGCCATTGGGATGCGGTGCAGCGCGCACGAGCGCGTACAGGTATGGTTCTGCGATGAACTTGATCGGAACGGGGATGTTGTATTCCCATGCGCGCAGGGATTTGTCATCTGAAGTAGAGATGAAGCGGCTGTTGTTGTCGACGAAAGTGAGGGTGTTGACGGCAGCGAGATGGTGGTCGTATTCCTGTGTGATGGCGCCAGTACGTGTGTCGAATTGGATAATCTTCTTATCGGACATGCCGGCAATAAATTCATGGGAGTGGGCGGGGTCGGGGTTGAAGCGGATGACATGGGGTGTTTTCCCAGTTGAGAAACGGGAGATGCATTTGCCATATTCCGTGTCCCAGAGTTTGATTTGGCGGTCGTATGAGCCGGAGAGGAAGGTGGTGCCCGTTGGGTGAAAGGTCGTATCTGTAATCGCATTGGAGTGGCCTGAATATGTGCGTAGGAGTTCTCGGGAATGGTATGCGTCCCATATTTTGATTTTAGAATCAGCGGAGGAGGATAGAAGGAGATGGCCTGAGTTGGGGAAGAAGCGTAGCGAGGTAATGGGTTTCGTGTGTGATTTCCAAGTATGAACCAACTTTTTGGGAACGTAGTTCTTGATGCTCCCAACTTCCTTTTTGAGGTCGATATCCAGGTCCTGCGGAACGTGCATGTATGTCCTCCCCATGTAGTCGAATTGTTCCGAGCCATGAAATTCCGTGGTTTCCGTTTCAGACGTATCTTCCTGGTACGCCGTAGCCTTTTTATCCATGGCCGGCACGTTTGACGGCGCAATCGCCTCTTCAATGTATTCCTCATCACTGGCAAGATCTCTACCAGCTAGGTCCACCTCTTCCTCGTACATGTGATCATCAGTCTCATATTTCGCCCATGGCCCTACGTACGCTCCTTCTCCTTCAACGATGCTCGAATCTCCTTTCTTTTGCCTCTTCCTCCTCAACGCAGCACTGACCTCCTTTGATGGCCGCATCTGCACTATGTCCTTGCCCCCAAGGCGCGCAACAGCTTCCATATCCCCGACAAACCCTCCGGGCATACTTGGATCTTTAGTGTATCCCAAGGCCTGGAAAGTCCGATGTTGGGTATTAAACGTTGCCTCGCTAATCAAGGTTTCCTCTGCATGTCCCGTCAAGGCATTTTTTCTCTTCAATGCGTTTCCTCCATGCACAGAGCGGAAAGGGTTTTCCGGTCCCAGACTCGGTCGCGACATATCATCGTAGGTGGCGTTGTAAGTCAAAGTGGTATCGGTGGGCTTTGCTAGCATCATTTGCAAACGCGAAGAGTCCTGTAAAAAATATGAGCTTATGTGAACGCTTAAAAATGGGAAATGAATTCTCCAATGGCTTTAGGAGAGAGGGAATGTAAATGAATATAGGGACCAAACCTCTACGGAGACGTCAGGTGCGGCGACGACACCCCCAGATGGTGCTGGGGCTGGTGTTGATTGGACAGGCGCAGTCTGCGCATCGTCATCACTAGAGGAGTCATAATTTGCACCCAGAAGAGAAGCCATAGCCACAGGCCTATATCATCCGCATATAAGAGTGATTATATGGCAAAGATGATGTGATGAAGTTGGTTGCAGCTCCGAAAGTTGCTGAGATAAATCCACCAAATTTTACGGTTGCCAAGATAGACCAGACATGCAATCGCCTGTAAATTGCGCGCGATACCAACTTTCAATGGGTATTATCAGATGGACCATATTCTCTGTATAAGAGGACAAGATTCTTGCACATGTAGATCATGCTGGCAAAAGTGGTATTGAATGCGCATTAAGAATGATACGATATTGAAATCCATCACTACGTATGTCTTAATGTTTCTACATATATAATCAACCAGCAGAAGACCGACTACTTCCGGATGTGAAAGAAACCAATGGAAACCAGGGGTAATATCGTCTGCTCTTCATTATCAGTTTAGGCATATATACATAACTATTTCAGGAAATTTGGGATAAATGAAAATGGTCTCCCAGCACCTACACCTGCATCTGCATATACCCTCAATTTCGTCTTTGCTTGTGTCCATCCTCTCGTATAAATCCCTCCAAACAACAGAATATTGTATACGAAAGCGGACAAAGCTCAACAGGCATAAGATAAACATATTACAGGTTCGTGTGTCATTTCCCAGGCCGTATCATATAGAAACAACCCCGCCCAATTTAGGAAATATAACATAAATGAGAAATCAAGCGCAAAAAAAACTATGCCTAACTCAATCAGTTCTATCAACAATAAATCGCTCTTAGGAAAACATAAACACATGGAGTTCTGGAGTAGTTCGAAGCATGAATTGTCATCATACGAACGAAGGCCCCTGCTTCTCTGCTTGGCCTTCAACGTAGTTCACGTCGCGTCATTCGTTCATATCGGGGTTTAACTTCCGGTAACTGCGCCAAATTATAAATCGCCCGGACGGCCATCCCGCATGGCGTTTGCTGCTGACACACGTAGTCATTGTGACTCGTCCCTAATCAAAGCAACGATCATGCTGTACAGGTAGAAGAAGAACATGACAAGGTGGAATCCGAGCTTGATAAACGATTCCTGCGGGAAGGGAAATACTATATTAGTTAACCGGACCAAGGACTGGAAGCAGAAGCGAACGAAGAGCAGACCTTCTTGTGGACATTGAGCTTTCGGAAAATCTCAGTAGCATCCAAAAGATGCTGGTTGTCGAATATCCTGCAATGAAGTGATGAGTTAGAAAACTTGTTTGGAATAATTGATATGATAAATCATCTATCATCAAGTCTAAAATGGAATGTTTCAAGGAGGGTTGATTGTACATACTTCTTTGCATTGAATGCCAGTAGAGGGAGGTTGAGGATTATTGCCAGCCAGTAGCCATTGATAACAAACAAAAATGTGAGGAATGCGTGAACAGCAGCTTCAGGAATAATATATGCATTGAGACGGTTGCACAGGTCGATAGGGTTTATGTAGTCACTGTGGCATTATCTCAAGTCAGCTAAACGCTCTCTCAGAATTCGCATAGACACCGGTTGAATTTGTGTCTGCTTTTACAGCCCCGAAAAGAAAAGGGGGAAAATATCCAGCCAGCCTACACATCTGCCAGAACAATGCAATGCGCCAACGTACCATTCCAAATCGCTATACATGATCGTGAAGAAAACTTGTAGAAAGAGGTTGACGGCATTAATCAACACCGCCAACAGATAGAGCCAAGCTTCGCCTGACATAATGGAGGCTGATCGTTTCCACAGAGGAGGCGCAGTGTGTATAAAAGCGTGAAAATGTGAGTATTTATGCCAGAACCGGATTACTCGTGGACAACCCAAACGTATGTAGCCTGATATGGATGATATCTGCTACCCAACCACGAAATTGTCCTAGAGAAATAGAGATAGAATATCTTCTTCCAACAATCTTGCCGCTCGAACGTCGGGGGACTGTTGGACGTGAACAGCGATGGGATAACAACAATGTGTGAAGGCGGACAGACGTGCTAGCTTAAACGAGCCAATAGGAGCAAAAGCAGCGAGAAGAGCTTTACAAAGCGGTAGTAAGGGGGCAGACGGGACAGGAGACAGGGTATCACAGGTCACAGGAGGACGGGTTGATATGGTGAGTGGGGAGATTTGGAGGGATGGAGAGGACTGGAACTCATTTGCGGGTGCGGGCAAGAAGTTGGCAGTTTGTTGGTGGTTGGTGGTGGTCGTGGTGGTTGGTCGGCAGGTTGCGGCTTGTGGTTGGCTGGAGGGAAGCTTGCTTTAGCGACGGTAGCGAGGCGAGCCATAAACGACCAGTACCAACATCTTCTCTAGTTGGAGTTATTTCTATTTATACCCGATATGAGAATACTAGATAGATGTCCTGGTAAGAACAGATATGCCTTTGTACAATCTGCCTGAGGGCTCCTCTACTCTCTGCCTATAAAATGTGGTGCAGGATTTCATTCATCAAGCGCATCTCTAATCTTGCCTATTGGCCATCAACCGCATTTAGCCGCGGAACCAAGCTGCATTAGTTATATGAAATCATGTTGAGAAGTTTGAAACCACTCCAGACCATCGTAGCATACTGCTCTGACTACGCATCGTCATATTCTATCGGCTCATCTTACTCTAGGTCAAGACAACACCAATTTTCCCCGCCAACCCAGCCGGGCATTGCTTGTTAGTTGTCCTATCTAGGGTTAGCCGCGGGACGTCGGCGGGCCCAATCATATTTTGGCTGGCTCTGATTCTGCCTTATCATGGTCACTTTTAAATAGCCCTGTAATTCGGAGCTCCGGACAGTGTCCCGCAAACCCATATATTGGGAATGGCAACGACTTCAGCTCAATTCCTGGGGCTCATAATAGTCAAACCATTGTCAACAAACCGCCCAACCATACCCCAGGCTAGCTTCGCAGGAAATGAAGACTGGAAATATATGTCGTATTGAAGTTCTCTAAACACATGAGATCAATAGGGTAGTTATTTCGCAGGGTTATCATTTTAATAGGCCATTCCATTGAGGAATGGTATTTCAGATGAGATGATGCCAACAATTCTCCTTTTTGCTCGCGGTGTTAAAGCTAATTTGCTAACCTTTTATATCTACTGGGGGTCTCGATGGGGCCATTGTTACTTGTGTGTTTACTCCCCTGCCCTCAAAAACGTCTGATTTCAATTCACACAACAAACCATTATTGAGGCCGTTTGCTAGCAATTTGTTTGCAGTTACGGGTTGCTATCTGCTGCTCACCTTTCTAATACTGACAATTCAAGATTGAAATTGTATAGCAGGACATTGAAAGCAAATATAGCAATGACATATTTTTACCGATGTTGTGATTAATTAAGGTTGCCTTCAACTTGGGAATATATCTAGAATGGCCCCTAGAAAAGACTCTACCAAAATCGTTAGAGGATGCCAATCACGCTATTCCTTTCATGTTAGCATATCTTCCAGTGATTGAATCAGAATATTTGCTCTCCAAAGTATAACACGATGTCTCTGCTAAAATTAATCCATGTCGTGTCTTGATGGTTTCAAGCCAATGACTGGATCGGATGTTTGACTCTGATGTCAAACGTCGGGCCGAAACGCTAAATGCCGAAACGGATCTGATAACACAAAGCTTGGTCCTCCGTTTCCCAACGTGGTTTTAAAGGGTCTCTTTACACATTCAGCTTGACACCATAAATCCCCATCTGTATAGACCCATGGGTTGCATATGATTTTTTAACCCTCCAGTAGAAAACTTTGTGGTATCAAAATCCTTTCGTCATATCCGGTATGATGTCATGTCTGTTGGCTCCGGGCGAGTCAACTCACTAGTTATCATATTGCGTGGGGTTTACAAATTGACCGGTTTAAGTTAACGATGATCCTCCACATTTGCGACAATGAAGGGGGTGGGAAATCAGGATTCAATCCGCGCCCAAACCAACCATTCTGTGAAACTTCTACCACAATGGTAACGGATTCCGAATTTGCTCTCTACGACGAGAGAGATGCAATCCTTGCGGCGGCACAATCAGAACACCCACCGCCACCCGAGATGCATAGGGAAAAACTGCTCTCTTTTCGTTCTGCTATGTGTGCTCATTGTTTATCCTGCCTTAATTTTGGATCTAATTTATGCGTTCGCTCCGCAAACCCGCATCTACGAGGCCATAGCATGTCGGAACTATCATGAAAAAGCACAAGCCCGCTGAATACTCATTTTCAGAAGAAATACCGGAAGAGAATGGCTTAGAGCACTTCCCAGTAACTAGTTAACCAGTTAACTAGCTGGTTAGTTAGTCATAACTATGGTATTTCAGATTATTATTATTATTATTATTATTATTATTACTGACTCTATGCAGTTAGAGACTATGATCGCTCGACTGGTACAGTATTCTAGATATTTACATGATATATGTTAATTTTTGATGAAGAGGGTTTCAACCGCACCTATTTTTTGGATATAAGTCTTAGGGGAGCTGTTAGGCTCTGTATTATCACTCATCTCCTTCTGACAACCGATGTTATACTAACTAGGAGAAGTCTCCAAAACCTAGTTACAGTTGTTGAATCATCTAAACACAAAGAATTCAATAGAACCATGTTGAATGTGCTCTAATTCTGTCAATCATACGGAGTAAATCATTTGCTATTCACCAGCCACCCCTCCTCCTACGATGAATACCAATCGATGAAAGGCGGGATTCAAACCCACGATCTTGTGGCTTGGTAGGAATGCTCCCCAATATTCAGTGCCTACTTTTAAGGCCTTCCATATATGACGTTTACGCTTACCACTAAGCCATCCACCCAACCTCGCCATGTTCACGCTCGGAAGCTTATGCATGGCCCTCCCCAACATCGATACCATGGCTATGTTCAACAAAAGTGGATACAGAACTTCAATTCAGAGCATTGAAACCGGAACCAAGCCCTTAGCATATGATCCAGTTATATTCCGTTGTTTCAGCCGTTGCGATGCTGGGTGTTTTTATTGGGTCACCTTTGTTGGCTAGCCCTTTTTGCATTGGGTTTGAAGATCGGGGATGGTTTGGGTTGGGTTGCCTTAAATATTTTGGAATCGCATTTCTGTACGGGGTTGTTTGGGTGGCAATTTGGTTTATTCGATTGCCCGAATTATTTTATGGAGACGGCAGGGTAGAACGGAAATATCGAGGTCATCTTTGAGATATAGCGACTATTGAAAATAGATTGCAACATGTCGACCAACTTAATGTTGGCATTTAAGGGGTGTCAGGGTGGGTTGGCCATTATGTTCTTTTGGATGCGAGTAAATCTGAGCGCTGCGCACTTAAAACTTGCAAACGACGAACGATGGATGAACGTTGGATTTTTTTTCTTTTTTTCTTTTTTTTTCTTTTTTTTTTTTTTTTTTAAAAAAAAAAAAATCTGCAGTTCTTATTAAAGGTTGAAGATCTTATTATATGAATGATTTAGCAATTCCTACAGCCTCAACTCATGGGATCAAACAACACAAAAAGCCAAGAAAAGTGATTATCAAAAAGTTTGCTCTCCCCGACAGGGAATCGAACCCTGGTCTCCCGCGCTCGGCATTTGACTGACAAGCGGAAATCATGACCACTAGACCATCGAGGAAGTCCAATGTGATAGGGTTGTGTTGTAACTATATAATAGTAATTCAGGTCAATAAATATCTAACAATAAGTACCCCTTGCGACAATATCCAACAACTCCACCTCCTCAACGCCAACCGTTGAACCCATTATGAGAATCTTGTCTCGTCGCAACAAGAAACCGGTTCCCACCATCAGCAAAATCCGAGGACAAACCGTATCCAAAATCGACGGCATCCACTTTCACCTCTTTCCTTTTTTTCCTTCCCATCTCGGTACAGTTCCTCCGTCCAGACTCTCTCGACCGTCCATATCTAAAATTAGATTCGGTAACATGTTCAAAGGCTGCGAGGATCTCATTCTGTGTTCGTCTGCAAAGATCTGATGCGCAGAAATTTGTTTCCAGTTGCAGGGGGGGGTTCAGGAACATGCCGACGACGGCATGGCCAACTGAGTCGATGAGTACTCCAGTAATTGGCTCGCTGCCTGAGTTCATAAGTTCGGGCTGTTCTGCTGGCCAGTGTGAAGCCAGATGCCGGAAAGCGTTGTATTGACTGGTTATTCTTGGCCATTAATTGCTCATTCGTGTCCAGCAACTGTAAGCGTAGATAAAGACTGGTTCGACCCTTGCTAATTGCTAATCGATCAAAACTGTGACTCGAGTTAGGCCATCAGAAGAGACATATATATGTTCCTCTTATGGTAATCTGGGTGAATCAGAGCAAGGGCTGCTGCGGCTTGAACCCGGTAATCCTTGATTAAAACTTGCAAAGTTGCCCGACATGAATTGATTAGACGTATGTGCTCCTGGATCGTTCCATGAAATGGGAGTTGATCGTTCAAGCTAGGCCGCTCATTTGGGATGCGAGAAAATGCAGTATCGATCAAACCAGACGTATATTCAGGCAAATTTCTCCCTGAATAAATAATCAGTTCAAAATACAGCGTGAAGGAGAGCAGATACGTTGCTCCACCCGCGGCAAGAGCTTGGTCCATTATAAAATCCAAATTCTCCAGTCCCACAATTCCAGAAGAGAGGGGTACAGTGCGGTTCTTCTATTCAAAAGCCTTTTTCTAAAGGAATCTCTAACTCCTTTTCGATAGGTGCGTGTACGAAGTAACTATAATGTTTTCATAGGCTGGAAAACACAAAGCAGCATTTCCCCCAATTTTTCAAAGACTAATCTATAACTAGTGCACTGCATAAGTTGAAGTGTAACTATCCATGATGAGGGACCACTGCTCGTGTAGCTGAAGGCCGTCAGCGTGGTCCCTGAATGATATATTCAATTCCAACATATCATCGGTCCCATGCCAAAAAATTGGGAAGTCGGGAGTGCGATTTTTGATAGTACTCTTGGCATCTATTATATATATCTAGAGGGTAAAAGAATAGGTTTCTAAGAGGCTATGGCATTAACTTCTTGAATTAACTGTTAACCTTGCCGGGCCAGCCACGGGAGTCGGGTTTCTTGCCATGACACGTTTCGCAGTGGCCAAATGTGCAGACGAAAACTCCCTTCTTCTCACATTTGGTAATCTTGGAAACGCCGTCACATGTCTTCATGACCGTTCCACACAGACGGGAGGCAAGTCGAATCAAGGGAACGTTAGTGACGTTGCAGCTCGGCCTGATGCAGCCACCTGCCTGCGGTGTATGCATAGGAATCATCTTCGGATCATTATTTATCTGGAAAACTGTTTGGTTGACTTTCGTGCATTAATCGTTAACTACGTTTGCCCAAGAGGCTCGAACCAGGAGACAACCCGTGGGGTTCCGTTGCCCTCTGTATGACTTGACAGTGGGAGGAGCTTTGCCCCCATTCTGAACAAGAGACCCTGGCATGGCCGATAGAATCAAGGCATAACTAACGGAACTAAGACAACTGAAGGGAAACATGCAGTTCCCTCTTGTCCGCAGCCCGATCGGCCCCTACGTAACCTTATATAGACAAATATCCGCTTTACCCAAATCCATTCGACCCGTAGGAGTTAGCAAAAAGGTCGGATATGATATAGCTAACTATCACATGACCTGCGCTTGGTCCTGAAGGTCAAGCGGCTGAATTGATTGGAATCGTCAAGGGTTGTTGATAGCACAATGCAAGTCTCCAGGAAAGTCAGATTTGACCTGCTCGGTTGGGTAGTTATGCAGACCGGGAGCAGCTAAGGGGTTCGTCTTGTTATCGGTGCCGTCATCCCGCTCCTGTGGGCAGATCTCCCCAGCCGCTCGCCCTCAGGCCAGGGAACACAATCCAAAGGAAGCCGGATATGTTTTGAATCTTGTGTGGAGTTTTGTTAGTTCCACCCAGGAACTTTCGAATCTGGCCTTTGCTACCTGCTGTTAATCATTGTCTATTTTCGGATTTACTGAAACGACCCAGAATCTTGGAATACTGGCCAAATTTCCCCCATGGGTGCTGGGGTGGGACTTCAACTTTACGTTCTGAATCCTCAAATCGGCATTCGAAGGTTTACAATGGAAAAATGCCTTTCCTCGAAACAAATCACAGCCTGACACCCAAAGGGGGTTTTTTGCTCCGGAAGCCAAGCTAAAATTGCCTCTTTAACTTTTGGGCGAAAGCCAACCCTCAATCGCACTCATGCAATTCAAGGTCAGAATTAGGTGCATTCACCGAATAGGATGATCCATGACCACGTTATTTTATTGAAGGAAGCATTATTGACGTCCCAAGTCTCTTCATTTCCGCCCCTCACTGGACGCCTCGAGACAATTCCATGCACTGCAATCCCACTAAACCATCACATCGCATGGAGGGTTGCGAGCTTGTGGCTACGTAATAACAAACTGCTACACTGCTACATAGCTAATCCACCTCTCGCTGAGAATGGGGAGGGAATCTGTTTATATATACAACCACTAGAACCGCCATACCAAAGATAAGCAGAATGAGCTAGAAGCAACAGGTGGACCTTTTTGGGCAACCATGGGGCCTTTACCTCTCTGGCTAACAGCGAGTTTGGCTGCAGTGGCAGTGTCACTCGCAGCAGTCATAATCCGATACCTTCTAGCAACCCAACGTCCTAAAGACTTCCCACCGGGCCCGCCAACCCTTATTGGGATCGGCAACCTCCACCAAATCCCACTCAAGCAGCCATTTCTTCAATTTCACGAGTGGTCCAAGACGTATGGTGACATTGTTGGACTCAAAATCGGCTCATCTAATCTCGTCGTTCTTCACAGTGCTCAATATGTGCGCGAGCTATTCGAGAAACGCGGCTCCATTTACTCTGGAAGACCCTATAGCTACGTGCATGTTGAGCATGTGTACCGTGAACATGCTGACAAACACCTCCTGAATCTTCAAAATGGACCCTACCTCCGGCAATGGCGTGCCGCCGCCTCCTCTCTTCTTGGTCCAGCGGGTGTGAGGCAGAGCATCCCCATGCAGGAGGCGACTTCCGCAATACTAGTACACGAGCTGTTGCAAACAACTCCTTCCAAGTCATTGGAGCATTTCAAGTCTTGGGCGCTAGCCACTCCTCTCCTGGCCATCACCGGGCAACGGCTGGAAGACCGTGGCAAAGCCTTTTCGGACCGTCATTTTAGTGCCCAGCAGCAGTGGATCGAGCTGCTGGAGCCGGGTAGCGCTCCCCTGGCCGCTGTTGTTCCCTTTCTGCGCTGGGTTCCAGAGAGGTTTGCCAGCTGGAAAGGCAAGGCGCGATGTGTGCGACAGTACATGCTCGAGGAGTACTATGGTTTCTTGAAAAGCGCTAAGGAATTGTGCAATAGCGCTGATGATAGTCCAAAGACAAGTGGATATGTATCTACGAGATTCCGCTGCCTTATGACAAAAATTATTGAGGAGTCGGAGTCAGAGGAGAGGAAAGGGGGACGAAGGTCATTTAACAGTGACCAAATCGCTTACCTTGGTGGAAGCCTCCTCGATGCGGCAGTCGGCACGACATGGACTACTACGATGATCTTCATTTTGTTAATGGCAGCCTATCCTGATATTCAAGCCAAAGCTAGGGAGGAGATAGACCGAGTAAGTACAGACAAGCCCCCGGGAAGCGAGGTGCTTGCCCAGCTGCGGTACCTCAAAGCCTCTCTTTTAGAGGTGAGCATTTTTCCAAAACCACCCGGTAATTACCCTGGAAACATTAGTGTCATGTATGTTAGATGCTAAAAGCAGGCCTTCCCCTGACCAACATCAAGGTTTATCGCTTTCGTCCAACAGGCCCTCATGGGCTTCCCCACGTTACTGATCACGACGACATCTTTGCGGGGTACAAGATCCCCAAGGGAACCACAGTTCTTGCCAACGTCTGGGCAATCCATCACAACGCCGACGACTACGATCAGCCAAATGAATTTCGCCCGGAGAGATATCTAGACAACTCATTCGGGCTCAAACCGGGCGTTGAGGCTTGCGAAGGGCGGCGGGCAACCTACGTCTTTGGTGCAGGTCGTAGGATCTGTATGGGTGAGCAGTTTGCCGAGAATGCCATCCTACTAGCTATGTCCAAGCTACTCTGGGCGTATAACATTTCTGCTCCGGAATCGCTTGACCTCGCCGTTGAGACCGGGTTCCACACGGGGTTGGCGCTAAGCCCCCATCCCTTTAAAGTTGACTTTGTTTTGCGGGACGAAGACAGGAGGGAGAGTGTGATTCTCGACTACAAAGAAGCGTCTGAAGCACTGAAACACATTGGGATCTGATCTCATCTCTTCGGGTTTTTTAAATTTCTCTCACCCACATAGTAAAAAGATAAGGTTATTGAAAAACATGGTGCCCTGCTTTTTATGCCTGTGGGTTTGAATGACTTTCTACAATTTCTTCTGAACCTTGAGAGAAGGATTTCACTTAACTAACTTGGAATAACTAAATGAGAAACTTGAATTTCTAATCAACAACATGCACAATTTTTATGTCTTGAGAATTTATTTTTTTCTTCTTTCGTGTTTTGTTGGGGGGGGGGAGGGGAACGAAATATGTTGACATGGCGGGTGTGCCCCAAGCCCAAGGCTCACTTTAACTAACTTCGGTGACAGTTGAACCGCTAATTTAACCAATAACTAAACGGCGGAGTAACTTAACTCTTAAACCAACCACCTAAAATCCAAACCCCTTTATATTTTATATTTAGAGCGTGACTATGCGTCTTTCCCCCAACAAAGTGTGGAGAAATAACATCCAAATTACACCTTAGGCAAAACTGAGTTCCCCGTAGTACTCTGCGATAATTATTCCCCTCCTCTGCTGTGCTCAACGAATATTTTGCAGTTGTATCGGGTGTTGCCATTGTTGATATCTCCGTCCACTTCTCAAACCAGCCACGGGGTTTCGGCTTTTCGAACTCCTCATGTAGGACAACGAGTCGAGAGCAGAAGTAATATCACAGTATGTCCTTCTCGTCTTTCTCGAATTGCAACGGTATCACAACGAACGGCATCAGGGTCGAAAGGATGACGTTGACGTGAGTGACTGAAGAATGTAATACGATTTCTGGTCGGAGAAAGGTTAAAGAACTTTTCTGTGTGGAATCGAGGACCTCGAGAACAAGCTGTTTAGGAAGCGCGCCCCTACGAAAGTAGATGAATCGGATTTTTTTTTTTTTTTTTTTTTTTTTTTTTTTTTTTAAAAAAAAAATTAAACCTTGCTGACGCTTTCAGGGAGGGTCACTAATAGCGAATCATCCAGGGACAAGTCACTTTTCCCCCTTGTCGGCCTTATCATCTTTATCAATGCTGTATGATGAAATATTTCCACCACGCCTGTTTCTCTGGTCAAACATCAAGTGCCTCTGAAGGTCATCTTTGGGTCGAAACTATAGCCCAGCATGTTTATTCAGCCTTCTCGCCCTGAACTTCAAGCTCGATGGGGAACCCGGACTCTTGCGATTAAAATTTGGATCGCCGGTCAGTCAGCAGAAATGTGTTCGTAACAAACTGACTCAATGCAATACAAAACACGTAGTTATATGACGGACAGCTCTTAACTCGAAACTGATCTCCTCCGAATCTAAAAAAGTAGCATTTCATATCAATATACGATATTAGCGAGTCCATTTTAGATGTACCCGGCAGGAGAGTCCCTCGCAATGCATCAACATTCAGAACCACAGAGAGGCTGTAGCATTTATATACATGGATGATGCTACGCTACACACACACAACAGGGGAGAAAGGGACATTAAAGCGTAAACCCATGCCTGGTCCACAAGGTAAAGACAGTAGTGGAGGAGTCACTGCCCGAGAAGGAACTTGGACTCCACATCCATAAAAGTTGTGGCTTTGGGGAGAGAAGACAAAGGAGGGCATTGAAAAGCAGGTATACAATTCATCAGCTATAATAATCTGTATCAATACCAGCTAACCAAAAAGTTTAGCGAAGACGGCCGTATGTCATGCCATGGATATTTTAATCAACTATATAAAGGCGCAAGAGAAAAGAAAAATGAACTAGGTGAAATTGAAGAGCGTTTCATCTATCTCTTCTCAACAAGCAAGAAGTGCATAGCCATATAGGCAATGATGATGAAAACGCCAGAGAACACTCCGAGGCCAATAACGTCGCGCCACAACGCAAGCGTATCGAAGCCAAAAGCGCTGAGGATTGAGGCGCCGGGGACTTCGATATCCAGGCCGTATTTGTGGTCGATAAGGGTCAGGTATGTTACTTCGTTGACTATTAGGCCTTCAAAGCCGTAATGGAATATGGAGAGCTGTAAAAATGATTCCGAAAATATCAGTACATGGTGAAAAGGGGATTTAACTGAAAAAAAAAAAAAAAAAAAAAAAAAAAAATTACCATTTGAAGCCACAGAGCTGCTTTCGGGATAGCATCATGGTTGAGAAGGAGACCGGCGAAGAGGAGACTGAATAGCATCACCAAACTGCCTATTAGGCTGGCGACGCTGCCGTCCTTGAAAATTATGCCGATTGTTAGGCAAATGCAAGCTGCCGCAAGGTTGAAAAGGATAAGAATCAGCACGAATTTGAGAAATTCGGGCCATGCAGGGATTAGCCCGACCATAGGGTACACGATGACCCCCATCAGAATTGGTGGAATGAGCCGTAGTGGGACAATGTCAAAGACAACCTTAGAGGCAAAATAGGTTATTGGCGCGTAATATCCGTTCGCACGTTCTCGGACAAAGAGGAGTCTTTCGGATGAGAATACGTTCAGGCTGCTTAAGGTACTAAAGCCGAAGAGGGCGAGAAGGAAGAAGAATAGACCCAGTCTGTTTTGGAAACCCTTGATGTCGTCGGTCAGGCCGTAGAAAAGGAACCCAGAAAGCACAGCAAGGACTATCGCGATGGCATAGTGGGTGAGCATGAGCAGGGGATTCCGATATAGATTTCGCCATGTTCGTTGAGACAGAATAATAAATTGCTTCAAGAGGCCTATTCTGGCATAACTTGTCATCTGCTTGCTTGAAGACCCACTACTGTCCGGTTCCTCAGCAGAGTTCACCGTACCATTTGCGGTTGCGGCATTTTGCACTGCAGCATTAATCTCATCGCGTACGCATGCTGCGACGTTCGACTCAATGTAGCTGGAGATTAGGTTATCAAGGTCTGTGCAGAATCCCGATGCGTTGGGAGGTAGTTGATCCGGATCATCGATGATGCGGAGGGAAACAGTGCTCGGTTGTCGTATGCGCTGTTGGCCGCTTTCGGATAGACTGCTGATAGGGTTATCTTCGTCCTCAGTTCGTAGAGTGGAAGGAGTTCCCGGTTCTGGAATTCTCTTCCGTGTGTAGAGTTGCTTATCCTGTCGCTGTTTGACCGATTGTCGGCGTTTGCTGTGAGGACGGAGCCCTGAATTTTGGGGTCGGTCAGAGCCGCTATTATCCATCGAAGCGTTCGACACACTTGTGAGGGATTTGACCGCTCGTAGGCTGCTAGAAGTGGTCCTGGTCGCATCGCGATTGACACCCAAATTGATTTCATCTTGGTACACAGAGTGGCTGTTGCCAGCATGCATAGTCAGGTCGACGAGATAGTCCGCGATGTTAAAGCCAGCGGGACAGGAATATCCAATATGGTCGAAATACGTCTGACAGCTGGAAAACGGGCCGGAGTAGACGGTTTTCCCTTCAGCCAACAGTATCAATCGGTCGAACAACGCAACAATATTCGATCGAGGTTGGTGAATGGTAAAGATGACGGTACGATTGAAAGTTTTGGCTAAGTTCACCAAGCATTCAACAACGTTGAAGGCATTGAAAGCATCCTGAATATAAGAATCAGTACTGAGAAGATGAAAATGAGTGCTTATGGGGATAAACATACCAAGCCGCTCGTAGGCTCATCTAAGAACAAAATACTGGGACTCGTGACAAGTTCGCAAGCTATTCCAACACGTCGCTTTTCGCCCCCAGAAATCCCTCGACCCTTGCCTTCCTCGGAGCCGATAATTTGATCCTTGATATGCGATATGCCAAGTTGTTTCTCAACTTCGTGAACTTTCTGCTCTTTAGCAGCCGTGCTCATATTACGGGGCAGTCTAAGTAAAGCACTAGTCAAAATGGTTTCATGGACGGTGAGCGTTGGCAGCATCGTATCTTCTTGATCAACGAATCCTATGACGCTGCGATATTCATCGTCGTCAACTTTCTCGCCATTGACATAAAAGTTACCTTCCACGACACCACGTTTGTTCTTCCGGGCAAGAATATCCAGGAATGTAGTTTTCCCGGCGCCCGAAGCGCCCATGACTGCCATCAGTTGCCCTGGATGAGCAGAACCCTGAATGCCTGAAAGTATTTGCTTCCCATTAAGGTAGTAGGAGACGTTTTCAAATTGCAAGGAAGCAGGCTTGTGATCAGCCATGAGCTTCGCTCCCTCGTCATCAGAATCATCGAGTGGTAGAGCAATGTAATCGCGGTAAGCTGATCGTCTGGAGAGGTACCATAGTCCCAAAATAACAGCAACAATAAACAGGGAACAACCGGCAATTACGCCAGCAATGAGTGGCGTATTGATCGTTTTAACGGGTGTTTTGTAGCCTGGAATATCAGTCTTATACAAACACTCGCCCGAACGGCAGTCTAAAAAGATAGCTGGATCGCCGAAAACGTCCTTGATCAGCTGATTCATAACCGATTCTGAAAATTTACTTCCGTCTTCAACGCTACCTCCTCGAGTTGAGAGTGAGGTGAATGTAGCTGGTCCCTTGATCTGGTCCTTCAAAAATTCACTGAGATCAAGCGCATTCTTCTCACACAACATCCTGTCAGGAATACACCGACACTTTACCTTCTCACAGGAATAGCTTGTCCTATTCTGATCGTACGTGGTTTCCATGTTCCAGGAGCAGTTATTCAAGTTGCAGTAGAACGATTCGACTTGGTCAACCCAAACTAATATATCAAGGTCAGCGAACCGAGTAACTTAAAAACAGAAATGATAGGGAAGACAAGGTGCTTACACTGGAAGTTACATGTAGCGTCGGCCGCTTTACATGAAAAGGTAACTTCGGGCTTTTGGGCCCCAAGCATATCGACGATTTTGCGATTAGTGACGGAGCACATCTGGTAGTTCTCCTTCACAGTAACGCCATCCTTGTAGCACACGCCGCCCTCGCCCTCCGGCATCATCACGTTACAGGCATCGTTTGTTTTGCAGACATTGCAATTGACACCCTCCCAACCTTCTGTACATTTGCAGTACTTTTCCTTCCGCGGTGTCCTGCTTTTCCCATCGGGTAAGGAGCCACACAGGGGAACGGTGCAATCGTCTCCTCCGAATCCGGCAGGACATTCACATTTCCCGTTGTATTTATTGCAAGGCGCAAACTGGTGACACTGGAAGGCTTCGAGCTCGCAGTTGAAGCACGGAGGGCAGTCCTTGGGTCGGTCACCCTGAAGGGATAAATCCGGCGAGAGAAGAAGGCTTGGATCCGAGTAGTTTGAGAAAGCGGGGACGAGCCATGATGATGGTGGGTTGATAGCGAAGATTGTGAGGAGGTATATTGAAAACGACGGCGAGAGTCTTCGCATTGCGGATGGCTAGTCAAAGTAAGGACCTGTCGGCAAGTTGAAGGCGAAGAAACAACGGTGCAACGGCGCAACGGTCACATCAAGACGCTGCAAGATTTGGCAGGGAGAGAGATTATTGATGAGGAATCATGGGCTATTAGAAAGAAGGGAGTTGGGAGGTTAGATAACTAGTTCAGTGGGAATGGCATCAGTTATGATGAAGGGGCTGTTGGGATGTCCGATAAGTTTAGATTGAAGCCCAAGCACGTATAGATAATTTCGATCGCCGGCAGATTGCTGTCGTTCGTCAGATGAGTGCATACAACGCCCGTCTGCGACGGGAGAGAATGAGATTGCGGGACGTGGCTGGACATTCCCCTTGTCTACGGATGTTGGGCAACGGCCATGACGCTTTGCCCGGCTTGTCCGGGGTTCGGGAAAACGTTGACCCGTTTGACATACACAAAAACACAGAATTTGGTGTCACTGTAACTGTTACTCCAACCGTGTCAACTGTGGACTTTTTATCCAGTCACGTAACTACTGTTCTAATTAGCTTGGATTTCTAATTTTGGGTTTTCTTCCGTCTAGCCAAATAAGTTACTTTATCGCCCATTAATAACCCTTATCCGGATTGGGTCGTGAGATGCTTTACTCTGTCTTTTCACCCTGCAAGATCCATGAAATCTTGGCGTCTTCATTTGCACCACATCTTCCCTTATCACGGATAGTTACGGGCCTTGAAGGATGATTTCAAGTACCGGCGGAAGTGTGTCTATTTGTCGCAATTAACACATGTTTGGCATCGGCTGCAATTGGCTAAAATGCCAAATACGAGTTGATCAACTGAAGGGCGTACAGCGTAGAGAAAACCAAGCAGCTATTAGCTGACTGATTCTAGAAAGAAACCAAGTGGTTTAAGTTAAATAGTTAACTAACTGGCCACCTCAAACAAAAGGCAGAAGAACAGAACTGGCACAAAGATAATTTATACACAAAAGGAAATTTGGCGAAAGGCACAATGGTGAAGATTGACTCTTTCACGCTTGAGGACGTAAGTTCTGCCAGGGCTGACCCTCCAACCTCACGCATCGAATCCCGCTCCCCCGACTCCCGATGAAGTCTTGAACCAAAGATAGCTGATACCTGCCCCCGATCAGTATATCAACGACAACGTCCGTAAAGCTAAATATAGCATCGCCAGCTCTTGCTCTCTTCCAATTTCGCTCCAAGAACTTCAGTCGCTTTCCGAGAATTCGTCGTTCCCCAGTGCCAACGGTGACAATGGCCCAATACCCAACGAAATATTCACTAGAGACCTGGACTACGCCCCAGCATGCGGTTCGCAGAAGCTACGGGCCCGCCTAGCCAGCCTCTACTCCGTCAAGTTATTGACTCCACTCTCTCCAGAAAACGTGTTGATAACCCCCGGTGCGTCCCTGGCTAATTGCCTGATATTCTATGGCCTGTGTAATCCCGGTGACCATGTTATCTGCCATTACCCTACATACCAGCAACTGTATTCACAACCGGCCTCGTTGGGGGCGGGGGTTAGTCTCTGGAGGACGAATGGGGAGGATAATTGGAAGCTGGATGTTGAAGAGTTGAAGCGCATGATTAGACCCGAAACTAGATTTATCGTGATCAAGTATGCCAGCCTACAATTTCAGAACCAATTCTCTCTCTTGTTTCTTTCTCCCCCTTTGTCTTCTGACAACTGACAAAAAGATAAAGCAATCCTCAAAACCCCACCGGTGCTGTAATCCCGCGCTCAACGCTCGAATCCATCATCCAAGTCGCGCGGGAACACTCCATAATCGTCATCAGTGATGAAGTCTACAGACCCCTCTTCCACTCCATCACCCCCGCTGACCCGGAATTCCCACCCTCAGTCATGTCCCTAGGCTACGAAAACGTGGTCGTCTCCGGTTCGATGTCCAAGGCTTACTCCATGGCCGGCATTCGCGTTGGGTGGCTCGCATCGCCCAACGTCGAGTTGGTCAAGAAGTGCGAGAAGTGGAGGGCCTACACGGTCATCACCGTGGGTCAGATTGACCAGCAGATAGCCAGCTATGCGCTAGACGAGTGTCTGCACAAACTTCTCAAACGCAATAACGATCTAGCGCGACATAATCTAGGGCTGTTGGAAGGTTTTATTGAGCAGCATCGGTGGGCGTGTGATTGGGTGAAGCCTGTTGGGGCTTCTGTGGCATTTGTGAGGTTTTCGAAGATGGGGAAGCCGGTGGATGATGTGGAGTTTTGTGAGAGATTGTTGGAGAAGGAAGGGGTGTTGGCTGTGCCTGGCAATCTGTGTTTTGGGAATAGGGATGAGAACGGGAATGGCAGGGATTTTAAAGGGTATGTGAGGATAGGGTTTGTTGGGGAGACGAAGACATTGGAGAGGGCACTGGAGGGGTTGAGGGCATTTATGAGAGACGGATTTGAGGATGTACCTGTAGGCAAGTAAATTGATTGATAAATGGTGTGTAGGTAGTTTATTTAACAGGTTAGCTGTAAGTAATTAATCGTCCTGCGTTTTTGTTCTGTGTAGAGATATTCATGTCCTGTAGGTTACGGTAATCGCGCAACCTAGAATGCCTCATCACCAGCACCAGCACCAACACCAACTCTATCATCATCATCATCATCATCATCATCATCATCATCATCATCATCATCGTCATCATTTATTCTAACTCCTTGCGTTTTCCCAGCCACAGGCGATCCATAGTGTGCCAAGGGAGCAAGGATAACGGGAATTCTAACGGGGGACATCGTGGTGCCTGGGTGTGCCTGTGTGGGTCCCAGCTGAACAGCTGAATTCATTTAAGAAGTTCAGGCACGAGCAACATAATAGTTATCATGTCCACATGGACTAAACTGATGCAAACCGACAAAACATTCTCCCATTGGGGGAGCATGCATCGACAGATAGATATGCGCATACATTGAACCCTGTAGTTAAAGTAAGCTAATTACCAATCGTCGAGCTGGCATCCATGACTTTTTCCCCAGATATCGGGCGGCTTGGACCCTGAAATCTGCACGTGATGGGCGGCTGACGATGCGGCTCGCGGATCTAAACAGTCAGCACAAGGAGCTTAGAGCTCTTTCAACGTCATCTCATCTTTTTCTTCTTTTCATCTTGATCATGTTCTTCATCTTACATTAGTTTTCAGCGAACAGGTTCAATGCCTGAAGACAAGTTTGTGTCGGCATATAATATCCATGGTAACATAAATGCTAGACCTCGGGAACAAGCCAACTAACTTATTAGGTTTAACTCACAGTTTATTTATTAACTAACAAATCCCGTCTTCCCTAACCCGGCACTAGGCTCTCTGTTCGGTATCATATGCATATACCGACTCCCATCCATGGATCCAGACATAACCATGGCGTAATTTGCTCCAACCTGGGAAGGGGAGCATCTTGGTTTTCTCCACTCTTTTCCCGCAGAACGCTAGTTTTGCTACACAGTTATTTGGGGAACTTAAAATGTGATGAACTTGGGCGGATAATGTGGACTCTTCTATGCACCCATTGAACAACCAGAGCTAATTAATATGGAGTCGTCCTAGGTATGTGGGTGGCGCTATTCAGCATTATTGGAGACACAGATTGCCCGGATAACTAACGCACCAACAACACAACAGTAACTAATATCCGGCAGCTTCCCTCTTTCTTTATTTCTTTTGCTTTTCTCTGTCCATTGCTAACTCGACTTTTAAAACTTTATTTTCTGTTCCTTCTCGACTTGCTTGGAACAAAAGGAAAAGAATTTGGAACTGGTCCATTCCTATCTCCCAATCTCCATCTCATTTTTTTAATTGCCCTATAACCCTCGTATGTTCTCTTCCTAGGAATTTTCCAGTCCCGATTTGGACAGTCCAGATGGCCGTCGCTGGTATGTGCTTCATTATATCAATTATTCTTACCACTATATTCCTTCGATCCCCTTGTCAATAACCATCCAAACTAGCAACTAACCTTCCACATCAGCAATTCCGTTATCTCTCGCAGTCCCAGCGGCTGTTGCATCCGCTGCTTATCTAAATGCACGATGGGGCGTCTCAGACGATCTCAATATCATTTCGTCCCTCACCCGAGCTGCCTTCGGATGCGCCATGGCTGAACGACGAGGCGAATGCAATCTATTCTATATCGTAGAACGGAATGCCCTGAACAAGCGCACAGCGAACAACCTTGCACTCATCTATGATAACCAAGAGTGGACCTTCCACGAGCTATACACTACCACTCTACGCTACGGCGCCTGGCTTAAAAACACCCATAGTATCAAAGTGGGGGATGTCATAGCTCTAGATTTTATGAACTCTGCTGCTTTCATTTTTATGTGGATGGGTTTATGGAGTATTGGTGCCACCCCCGCATTTATCAATTATAACCTGACAAAGTCTTCCTTAACTCACTGTGTCAAGGCGTCGACTGCCCACATTCTATTTGCTGAGCGTGAGCTACAGCAGCATTTATTCCCCCCCGAGCAGCTGGAGGTGTTTGGCCAGCCGGACTTCAGAGAAGGAGGCGGTCCTGTCCAAATGGTGTTTTATGATAAGGCGTTAGAGAGGGAAATTTTGCAGACGCCCGGTGAACGCACGCCAGATTCAAGTCGCCCTGGCACAATCTCAAGTGAGACTGGTCAGTAATTAGCTGCTTCCAAATCTTAGAGGCTCTGACTGGTTTCACTTTAACAGAGTTGTCTCTAACTTCCTGCAGCTGTGCTTATTTATACCAGTGGTACAACGGGTTTACCAAAACCTGCTATTGTGAGCTGGCATAAATGTATCATGGGTGGTAAATTTGTTTCAAACTGGGTGGGGTTGAAAACGTCAGATCGTGTTTATACTGTATGTCCTATTGTCCCTGACTTTGTTCAATTTTCGTCAGGCAAACCACCTTCCCCAGGATTGCATATCTCCAACATGTTTTTCTACCCCGGCCCAAGCAAAGTTCCAAACTAACTATTCCCAGTGTATGCCCCTGTACCATTCCACAGCTGCAGTTTTAGGTTACGTAGCATGCATGTTTTCCGCATCAACGATTATAATTGGCCGTAAATTCTCCGCCAGGAAATTCTGGAAAGAAGTCCGTGCGAACGAAGCAACCATAGTTCAATATGTCGGTGAGACCCTGCGATACCTTATAGCAGTTCCTCCCGAAATCGACCCTGCCACAGGCGAGAACCTAGACATTAACCACAAGGTGCGCCTCATATACGGCAACGGCCTGCGGCCCGATGTCTGGAACCGCGTCAAAGAACGATTTAACGTACCCACTGTCTGCGAATTCTACGCTTCGACGGAGGGTAACTCCGGTAGCTGGAACCGGTCCAACAACGACTTCACAGCAGGAGCCATTGGCAAATATGGCACCATTACGAGGCTAATTCTCGGCCGCAGGGTCGCAGTCGTCGAGCTCGACTATGAAACTGAGCAGCCACTCCGAGACCCCAAGACTGGATTTTGCAAGAAAGTCAGCTGGGGGGAACCGGGTGAGTTGCTTTTCGCTCTGGATCCTGATAACATCAAAAGGACGTTCCAGGGTTATTTCAACAACAGCAAGGCTACAGAGAGCAAGATCATGCGCGGCGTGTTGAAGAAAGGTGACGCATGGTTCCGTACCGGTGACGTTGTGCGCTGGGACGCAGATGGCCGCTGGTACTTCTCCGACCGCATTGGTGATACTTTCCGCTGGCGCAGCGAGAACGTGTCCACAAACGAAGTCTCTGAGGTCCTCGGTAAGCATCTTAATGTCCTCGAAGCGAACGTCTACGGTGTCACCGTGCCGCATCACGATGGCCGTGCTGGGTGTGCTGCCATTGTCTTCCGTGAGCAGGCGGCCGTCACACCTCCGCTGGGGTCTGACGAAAAGCTTGCATCTGAAGTGCCAATTTTGGAACCGACATCTGCCGTGTTAGACTCTCTCGCTCAATTTGCGGCAGATAATTTGCCCAAGTATGCTGTCCCGACGTTCCTGAGGGTAACGAGGGAGATGCAGTCGACGGGGAATAACAAACAGCAGAAACTTGTGTTGAGAAATGAAGGAATTGATGTAGAGTTTTTGAACGGTAAGGGTGTGGATGATCGGTTGTACTGGTTGAGAGAGGGCCGATATTTGCCGTTTGGACTAAAGGAATGGGGGTCGTTGAAGGGAGGGCAGGTTAAGTTGTAAGATTTTGCTGTGTGTTTCGGGGAGTTCGAGAGGATGATGAAAAATGATGATTCTTGATTGAAGGCGAGTGGTAGGAAATTTCTTCCCCCGCTCTCTCTGCTGTGAGGAATGGGAAAGGCGAAGTGAATATGAATTCTCTATACGGATTTGTTTCCTCATTTGGGTGGTCTATTTGCATAATGTGTGTTCATTTCCATGGGTCAACTGTAACTACGTGTGAAGAGTTCGGTTGGAGGTGGGGGTGAATATACCCACGATTTGAGAAGCGCCAACACTCTTGCAGGAGGAATGCGAGCCCATGGATGAAGTTGGTTGAAGTTGTAGATATATCTATGTACTAGCTGAGTCAACTAATTAACTAATTGAACACCCCTCTAATGGCAACTTGTCAAATGCTTGGTCAACATCACTAATTTTGATGCTCAATACATCTTGAGGATTTGGCTCAGGGCCCCACACTCAGTTCAATAGAGCTCTTAACAGCAAGTAAAAATGCTCGCCGAGTTATACGTGTGTAAGTGTTATCTCCTGGTTGTTCTGTGCTTTGTGATATCCGCCCCGCTTAGATGCCGCTAAACCCTGTTAGGCAACCCATCAAACTATGCCTTAGTTAAGCCCGCGCAATATTTAAAGAGTCCTGTCGTAGAGAGACCCACGGTCAATTATTATCACAAAGAAGCACCAATTGCCAGTACAGACCAATACCAAACTACCCAAAAGAACTGTTTATAGGGCTTCAATGGCCTCGCAAAAACCGCAGCCCGCCTCTGGGGCGGTCGCGGGCAAACTCTGGGGGGGCAGATTCTCAGGTATGCTAACATCGAAACCCACCCGATATCTGCAGAATTCCCCGCAAACTCTTACGGGTGTCCCATCTTCACTCCTCCAGGAGCTACCGATCCATTGATGGTTGCCTACAACGAATCCATATATTTCGACCGGGCATTTCACGCTCAAGACATTGCGGGCTCCATCGCCTTTGCCCGAGCAAATGTTGCAACCGGAATCCTGACCAAGGACGAGTTCGCTTCGATTGAGAACGGATTGAAGCAGGTACTGGAGGAATGGCGGACGAATGCCTTTAAAATAGTTCCCGGAGTAGATGAGGATATTCATACGGCGAATGAACGCAGACTGGGGGAAATCATTGGCAAGGAAATTGCCGGGAAGCTCCATACGTAAGGCATACTGCTAGAATTTTCACCTCCTTTTCCTGGGCAATTATTTTCCGCGTGGGGTAGGTGGTTTAGTTAATATATCGCGGATTGAATTTAATTTAAATTAGAGGCTAATAGCAACGTCATCCAACAGTGGTCGTAGTCGGAATGACCAGGTCGCGACCGATTTGCGGCTGTGGCTTAGAGACGAGCTGCGCGTGGTCGAAACCTACCTGGTCGACCTGCTGAAGGTCATCGCAGAGCGTGCGGAGAGTGATATCGAATATGTCATGCCCGGATATACCCACCTACAACGTGGACAGGTAATGGTCCCCGCGAACAAAAAAATAAAAAATAAATAAAAATTTTGAATGGGGAGAGAGCTTGCTAATTTATTTCCTAGCCTGTTCGATGGAGCCATTGGATGCTTAGTTACGGTTTCTCTTTCGTGAATGACCTCGAGCGTCTACGAGAGGTTATCAAACATGTCAACCGGAGCCCTCTTGGTTGTGGAGCTTTGTCGGGGAATGCGTTTAACATTGACCGGGAAGCGATGGCTAAGGAACTAGGCTTTTGACGGGCTCATTCACAACAGCATGTCAGCTGTTGGAGATCGGGATTTTATACTGGAAACAATGCAGTGGGGGTCGACCCTGATGTTGCATATTTCCCGCTGGAGTGAGGATCTTATTATCTACAGCACAACTGAATTTGGGTTTGTCCGGTTGTCGGATGCCTACACGACGGGAAGCTCCTTAATGCCGCAGAAGAAGAACAGTATGTCTCCTTTCTTTAGTGAACTTTTTTGCAAAGTAACGGGTGGCTAATTTTACATACCAGGTGACTCCCTTGAGCTCCTGCGAGGCAAATGTGGTAGAATATTCGGTGGCATGGCCGGTCTCATGATGACCATTAAGGGAATTCCTTCGACATACAACAAGGACCTGCAAGAAAGCGTCGAGCCACTCCTCGAGCACATCAAGACTCTAAAGGACAGCTTACTCATCGCAGCCCGTGTGTTGTCAACCCTAACTGTATTCCCCAACAAAATGCTCGAGGCATTGACTCCCGATATGCTGGCCACTGATCTGGCGGAATATCTTGTTCGAAAAGGTAATTATTGATTATTGACAATTATCCTATCATCCGTCCAACTTATGGGCCCTTCCCCTTCAACTCTCCGTTCGCTCACTATATGCCGAATCATTTCACTGATTTATCACGTTAAGGCGTTCCCTTCCGCGAAACCCACCACATCGCCGGCCGCGTTGTGGCGCTTGCAGAAAAAGGGGGAACCCCCATGGACAAACTGACTATTGCACAGCTACAAGCTGTTGACAACCGGTTTGGCAACGATGTGTTGGAAGTGTTTAATTATGGACGGTCTGTGGAGATGAAGTCGGCTATTGGCGGGACGAGCAAGTCCGCTGTTCTGGAGCAAATTGTGACGCTGCGCAAGGCCCTTGGAGGGGCATGGTAGATTTCTTAACGCAATCACTGGGATGGAGTGATTCGGAGCATGTATGCACGGGAATAAGGATAGATAAAATATACAATTGAACAAAGCATATTGCGGGTATGATTTGGGGCACTGATCGTACCCTTTGGGGAACTGTTCTCTCAGTTACATGAACCATCCCAGGCCCTGCTTTCTTCCAGCCATCATACATCATACCGATAAAATATAACTTCGACATAGCCGAGGTGCCTTCAGTCTCCCATGCCTACCAGGGATACACAGAAACGGACAGCAGCGATTCCTTATGCTTCTCTGCAGAGCTATCCAACAAAACAACAAAGTATTTTGTATGCTTCGGGAGTTTTCGTCGCACTCTTTTCGTAACTTCTGTCTCCTACTCCGGGACAGCTATTACTTGGTTACAATTTTATTTTTTATTTTTATTATTTTATTTATTTAATTATTTAATTAATTAATTATTTATTTATTTTATTTTGTTTTACTTTATTTTATTTTATTTTTTTTTTTTTTCATGAAGCTGTTCACAATCTGAATGAATGATGCATTGGTTGTTTGATTGTTTTTATCTCAAATGAAACGAAGGAGTTCGTAAACCCAGCAGGCCTGTAAGACGCGACTTTACTCCTACAGGCTGTTTGAAAGGTAACATTCTCAAATCTGTTGATGTTGTACTCTCCTGTTCTATCACAATAATCCACCCAATATAATACTTGTTTTACTTTGCCGCCAGGTTATCTTCTCGGTACATGCATGCCGCAACAACTAACCAACCGTAGGCGGCATTCGGCTTTTTTTTCCGTTTCCTGTAACAAGTGGTTCCTCTGTGATCAGTTACTCTGCAACAAAAAGGTTTCCTCAGTTGATTCTGCTAAAAGCTGGAAGAGGGCCAGAGCCTGAGCACACAGGCTTAGAGTGTCGTGCGCTTCATGAATCGTCAATATTCGTTATTCCACACAATTTTTTGTCGCATGCGCACTGATGTGCGATGAGCTCACTCTAAAAATAGGAAAACACTCCCCCAACCCGCATGTTTTCACCAAGGAAGGAAAACAAAGGGCCAAATTCCACCCCACCCAATGTTTGCCCCTGCGTCCAGCTGCGTCCAGCCGCCAATAGACAGGAAGTTTTGTGTCGTGATTTTTGTGCATGAAGGGCCCAGGCGAGTTTGGCCGGTTGTTCTGTGGCTTTCCTAGAGCTGGCCTAGAGCAAGCCTCTCGACCTCCAGGAGTAAAAGTTTTTCTCCGATTCAAAACTTCGCAGTGGAGTTGGAGTTGGCCGAGGCGATTTTGTGACCCTCGATCAAACGCTAATACGAAGACACAGCCGTTGTATTGTAAAAGGTCTGTTATATTTCCACTTGTTATGGTATAACACTTTTCATTTGAGATACCTAAGTCTGAGAGGGCTCAAGCCTGTGAAAATATTGTAGATGGTCAATACTCCACCTCTTGAAAAATTACATATATTCTTAAGCGAGTTGCAGTCATAGTGCTATTCATGCTCCTCTCTAGGTGTGGGGAGGAACATATTAATCTCAGATCCACATCTTATGACCGTACTTGTGAGAGATATAGCAGTCATAATTACTCCGCTGGCACGATGAGTATTTGATATTTCAAGTACGGAAAAAATATGCCACAGACTGACTCTGTTCTGCCCGTCCATCATGAGTCCCTTGCGGGTCTCACATCAAACTTATTAATGTTGATGCAAACATGTTGTCCAATATTTTGTTGTTTCAGTTAAACAATATTAATAGTCATAGACCAAGGAGAAGCCTGGAATCCATCAGCCACAGGCGCTGTGAATGTTTTAATTTCTTTCATTCTCTAAGGAGCGACAGGAGAATAATAATCGGGAATGGGCTTAATCCCCACATGCTTCTGAGTCAGAATCTAACACGCGTCACAGTCATCATGCATGGATGCTTCGCTTTGTGTATGGCATTCCTATCCTGGGAGAACCCTTAAGCCAAAGACGAGTTTATAATGATTCACAGGATGTAAGGTGTGAGAATGGGAAATGATAAATGCCAAATGTCACCACCTCTTTTGAAGACCACAGAACAAGGGGAAAGCATTTCTTCTGCACTTGGATGGAAAACTATATGCTTTTCCAACATGAACCGGAGTCCCAAGAACGGGTTGTTCGAAGTATCCTCTGCGGGGTACCAAAATATGATAAATTAAGAAAAGCCTTCGTTAAGGAAAATGTTGATTGGAATTCAAAATCTTGGGTGAAATATTAAGCTTATTGTTAGCGTAGAGTTTAATTTATCCCCCTCAAAACTCGCCCAGGCATTGAATATGTTTCAGGACCTGATCAAAAATTTACGCTATTTTTACATTGAACTTTTTATGAAAGGGTGATGATATTATATGTCTCCGTCCAACAAGAACTCAACTCCAAATTCCATGGTTAAGTGTTAGATCTCTCAATCAAAAAAGTTTTATTCATTGAACTCGTCATTTCCTAGTTTTCATAAAAAGCGTGTAGATCTCGATTCTTCGATCGGATTACTGTAGGCGGGAATTGCATAGGTGCCAGTTAAATCATAGTATTCAGGGCACACTGAAATGACATTTTGAGCTGGTTTTTGACCCAAGTGATTAAGTCTTAATTGCATAAGTATCCTTTGGTATTGTTTTTGACCATTTTAATATGATGACAATTGGCAAACATTGAGATGTCGGAAGAAGGCCACCAGAAATACAGAGAGCATGCTAGTCATCTGGTCAATGACTGGAGGACAGTCACTTTAGGCCATTATTTAATTAGTTTTGAATGTGCCTATTATGAACCAGCAGTCTTGAAGCTCTACATTCTGCAAAATATTAGTTACCTTCAACTTCTAGGGTAGTTTAAGCTAGTTTGCCTTTCTTTCTGCCAACGGACTCACCATGTCTTTTTTGTCGTTAATTTTTATTTATATCATGGAGCAAAATGAACTAGATGCAGTTATTCTCCGCAGCAAGCATACCCGTATCTCTCCGTATCTCTCCGCATCTCTCCAGACCTAGATATGAATGCACAAGAGAAAGTAAGGGAATTGTTATACCCTGACAGAGAGCACAGCCAGAGGACACAGTCAGAGGACATGGTCGTAATCCATGTATGCTGGTGCAGATTACTATAACATGTTGTATTGTGTATTGTCCCTCCCGTACGGAGTACTGTACGGTAAATCAATCAATCAATTACCTGTACCTAGGCTGAGAAAGGATTTCCCCGATAAATAACCCTCTTTTGGTGCCAAGCGGCTGGACAGGCCCTGAAAGAAATGAACGCTGGCTTGAGATTGGGGGTTGCAAAATGGCTCCCAACCTGCCTCCTTCGCGTGGTTTGGTCTGCAGGCGTGCAGGCAAACATCTCAATATTTCAAACCGGAAATGATGGGTAGAAACTTCAGGTGGTCACGCGACCAGCAGAAATGTGGTTTCTGCGAACCCAAGATTTAACCAGCTCGCTTGGGTTCCTTTTTCTCAACGAGGAATATGATTAAAATAAATTGCTGACAAAAGCTCGGTTTCAACGAATGCATGCTTTTCTTCTAGCATGCGTGGGATGTACATACTGAGCATCAAAGGGAAAAATAAATATCATGAACAACGAACGCATACATACTTGGAAGTTGGGAGCACCTCAACTTCACGTTGACTCTCCTATGACAGCAGCCTGCACCTCAAAATATTAATAGCAATTCCCATACAGTACTCTCTGTACTGTAACTCCAATGTTTCTCGATATACCCTGCTCGCGTGAAACCAAAACCATGCTCTCTTCGGCTGAAGCGCCTGAAAGGATGGGTCGCTTGGCTAGGCCTTACTAGGTAGCGTGTCGTGTGCTCAAGGCTTGATTTCAAGGAATAACGGACTAAATAGACGGCAGTCTGGAGCCCGCAGCCATCAGCCCAACCACTAGAAACTGGTGAAGAAACAAGTCACTGGCCGCAGTAAACAAACATGCCATTGGCTTTCCATATACCGTCTCGTCTTGCACACGCCGGTGTTTGTATTTCCTGTCTCTCCACACCCCGGACAAGTTTCCACTCGGTATCGCCTCACAAGTCAAACCTTTTTTTTTTTTTTTTTTGTTGCTGTATCTCTTCACTCTTACGAGAGCCCTCCTCTTACAAAGCTCCGACAACAGCGGGAGCGTCCATTCTTTCTCCTCTTTCAACGTCAGACGAAGAGACAGGGAACACAGTGCAGAACGAGGCACACAGTCGTTACCATACGATTGACACCTACCAATTTTTTGCTCCAGTCCCCTTTCTTCCCCTTTTTTGTTTCTCTCTTTTTCTCCCCTTTCCGGCTTATCATCTTCATTCTTCATCTCTTTGGATAGCGGTGTCTCTTTAGTTTGTTGCTCCAAGGGATGGGTCTGCAGCCTTCAGCCTGCTCTTTGTCGTTGCAATAATGAACCCCTTTTCGTTTCGTATCTTCCAGCCCTTAATCTTTTCCATATTAGTCGTTGCGATCATCTCCTCCAAGCTCCTTCATTTGTTCCAGCATGCTCACTCTATTCCCTTGCCTCGTTTTATTCTCTACTTTTTCACCTTCTTTATCCAGGATTGCTTTCTCATAATCGTCCACCGTCTGCTGCTCTACGGCCAGAGCCGTAATATTCAGACTATCATTGGCCTGACCATAGGCGTAATTCTTGCGTAGGAACCCTTTCATCTTCTTAAATATCCACTCTGAATTTTGCGACTATTGGGAAGCTAACCGTTTCGACTTCTCTCTCCAGAATCGTCTCTTTGAGCGCTTCAGCGGCACAGTTCGGCTTCTATTATGTTACTGGTGGGGAATTGCAGTGGGATGCTGCCGGAAGTGTGGCCAATGACCCTGCTGCTGTCAGACTCATGTTGAGTGGAATCGCACCAGTCAGTATCTCGGGGTTGGCTCTATTTCTTGTGTCTTGGTCGATTACTCCAGTTCTGTACATCAAAGTAGGTGGTTGGCTGGTCGTTGTTTGGAATTTGGTCTCTCCTGGAAATTGGGATGTCCTACTTCCCGTCATTCGCACGAAATCGGACTTCTCACACCAAAAAGCAATTCGTCTATGGCCCCTGTGTGTTCTGACAACTATTTGCTCTTTGACGCTTTTGCAATTCGTTCGACCGGCGGTGCCTTACGATCACATATCCGCAACCCTACCGGTCGCAATGACGCGCATGATACGGTCCAAATCGAATTCCTGCCCGAGGCATTTGCTACCAAATGGAGAATCGTTTCCGCTTCCGGATTTGCTCACAAAAGACCGATGGATAATGCCACATGATAACTACAAAGGATGGGCTCCCGGACAGGAAAACTTTTTCGTTCAGCAGTACGCTGAGAGGCAGCGGAAGTGGATTCCAGACACACTGCCTGCTGGATTTGAGCGGTGGAATAAGAAACAGAAATTGGGTCAGCCATTGGCGAAGAACAATTCAGCCCCCACCAAAAATAGCAAGAATAAGTGCCCCAATATGGGTGGAACAAATCACTATAACCCTGTGGCAGATCCACTACGGATTTCCAATTTGAACTTGGCACCGCTTGAAGAACTCCGCAAGGCCTTCAAGGACGTACTGATCTCGCACGTTGTCCTTGTGACTTTGGAGAGCACACGCAAGGATATGTTTCCCATCATGGACGGATCGTACCTCCACCGTAAAATCCTTGGGTCCTATAAAGGCGGTGATGAGAACAAGGCCCTAGTCAATGAGAAGCTATCACAACTGACTCGTGTGGCGGAACAAGTCACTGGACAGTCATTTTTCTCTTCCGCTGAACCACAAACACAACCTGAACTCTTACCTGGTGTATGGCGGGACCAGGCTGATCCAGGTATGGGAGGTATTAATGTTGTCGGAGCTGTTACTGGGAGCACTCTTTCTTTCAAGAGCGTTATTGGCAGCCACTGCGGTGTTGGGCCCCTCCCTCGGGATTTCCTTGAGGAGGTCAACGCGCAGATATACCAGCCTTGCATCCCTCAGATCATGGAGCTTTTCAACAATCAAAAGAAATCTAATGATGGGAAAGACGGGAAGGAATCATTACTTGAACATCGTGCCAGTGTACATCGAAGAAAATGGGAATCGGTATTTGTTCAATCAATCACGGATCAGTATGATCGACAGGATGAGCTCAACCGGCATATGAACTTTGGACAGTCCTTCGTGAGGGAGACACTTGACAATAAAACGTCCAAGTATTACACACCAGACGCTGAAGAGATTAACTATTTTGGGTACGTTAGATTGTGCTACATGTGAAAGAAAACAATAACTGATTGGAAGTTAAAGATATGCCGAAACTGCGGTTAAACCTTTCCTTCGTGACTTGATATCAGACGTTATTGCAAACAACAAACGCCTTTTCCTCTCGCATTTTACAAGCACCACTCACCATCCCTGGGGAGTACCAAAGAGTTTCAATAAAACGGAATATATGGGCTCTGAGGGTTCTCATGAGCACATGAACGATTTCCTGAATGTTATTCACTATGACGATATGTGGCTGGGAGAACTCCTTGGACTCTTGGATGAACACGGAATCGCAAACGAGACCCTCGTTGTCATGGTTGGAGACCAGTAAGTTTACATTCTTCCATGGCAACCCATCCATTATATCCATATACATACTAATACATATTCTCGCAGCGGTCAAGCATTCGCAGAAGACTCCAAACTCACAGGCACATATGAGAACGCCCATATTAGCAATTTCCGCGTTCCCCTCGTATTCCGCCACCCTCACCTCCCACGTCTCCAAATCAACGCCAACGCAACATCAATGTCCATTCTCCCTACTATTCTCGATCTCCTCGTGTCCACGAACTCCCTAGACGCTGTCGATACTTCCGCAGCCGCAGATCTAATGCACGACTACGAAGCCCAATCTCTACTCCGCCCTTACCAAACTTCGCTCAACGGCCGTCAGGCCTGGAACTTTGGCGTAATCAATGCTGGAGGCGCATTGCTTTCCATCATCTCAGCCGCTGTTCCTTACCGGATTGTAATCCCGCTCTCCGGCAATTTCATGTTCCGCTTCACCAACACTGCAACCGATCCAAATGAGCTCCATCCACTGGAAAAGTGGACGCTGATAGACCTCGTTAAAGTCGTTAGGCAACGGTATGGTCAGGAGGCAGCTAACTGGGCGTCAGAAGCTGATGCCATTGGCAGATGGTGGGCTACCGAGATGCATCGTTTGTATAATTATAATTCTCGATGATAGATATGTTTGGATATATTCTCTTTCTCCACATTCTTCTCGTCTTGAGTGTCTCGCTGGCTGTTCATAAGAAAGATAAGTTGATCTTTTTAAACCAGTTTTGACATATTATTACATTTCACTCATTTGGCGAAAAGGCATAATTTAGCGATGGTGGCATGCTTTCTAACGTTTCGGATACTGGAAGAGTTGCTATCATTAATATGGTTGGTTCTACTGCTTCATTTTGGTTTTGTTTTTGGATCAATGTCTACCAAATAATTGGCGTTTTTCGCTCGCTTCTTGCTTTTTTTTATTTTTTTTTATTTTATTTTATTTTTCCATCAGTCTTCAGCTTGGGGTTCACGGACTTTTTATGTTTTCATGATTGTGGCAAAATGTCTAATTTACTGGCTGATGGAGATGATATAGAATAATAATGTCTTTTGGCTATCTTGGTATTTCTATCTCTCTCCACCGTCTCTGCTGGAGCTCCTTGTTCAGTTCATCCTTTTTATCAGTCAATGAGATACAACTCTCCAAGGGCAGAAGAGAGACATTCACGTGCTTTTTTAACATAACAGGATCAACATGCCCTTCCCTAATCTCAACACCACATTCTAAAAGATACGTAATCATGGTTCATCTCCTTTCTTCACTGCACACTCAAGCGCTGTAATCACACCAACGATGTTAAATTCATTGATAGCCCCCACTGAGTTCTTAGGGGCCAGCTAAGGAATCCGGCAACAATTTTGCCATAGCCACATTGGAATATTGGACAACTTCAATTAGTGACACTAGATCTCTTGTTTCAGTAACAGAGGGAGGGTTTCTACCCGGTTACCACAATCAGACATCTTCGGTGCAACCACCGTCCTTTCACCGCTATGATGCAACAACAGGCTCACCTCATCCACAATTACACCTCCCCTAAATGCCCAATGCAAAATCTCTCTCCAAATGGGTCGAGAATCAATGGCATTCAATAAGCAGCCTCAGCATCGGTATGCATGGACCGATATGCCGCCCAGGACACCAAATCCACATCCTCGCACTTTCGAAATGCAGAATTCCACATACTAAGCCAGATAGGACCCGATGGGTCGACTTCACAACGCAGCCGCTCCAAGCGCAACTCTCTCTCGTTCTCATGCCACAACAATAATTAATTTCATCCACACAAGGACCACTCGTGCCATCATCGCCCTGAAATACCACCTCTCCTTAATGGTTTAAGGAGCAGCTGAGGATAACATCAGCAATATCAACATAGAGTCTCTGGACAGCCATCGCAATCGGCAGCATGAAGTAAGGTCGAGCGCTTGTAACTGTCCTGCTTCTGTCGCTAGCATCTATGCCGCGGCCTAGGAGTAGGTTGAAGGTGTCCAACCTCCCGCTCCGGACGGCTTCATGCATCAAACTTGTCCTCCGAAAATCTATGTTAGAGATGCTAATGCCGAAGGAGACACGCACATTTATCAGTGAGCGCAAGCCGCGCGATGTTGCGAGGATGACGTAAAAGGGGAGTTCCTGTTTAAGGTTGCAGGCATGTGGTTTTGTAGAGAGTAAACAGCGGTGATGATAACAGAGTTGTTGCTATATCTGAGAGCATGGGAGTTAGTCGGAGACTCGTCCTCATCCCATTGTCCTTCATAGGCGTCGTTGTAGTAGCCGTCATCCTCCTCATAGGACATCCTTCTCTTCATCAGGGGTCTATTGCGGTTTTTACTGACTTGATCGATCCAACGGTTTACGGCCATTTCAGTAATTGCTTGCTCCCTTGCATAGGCAAGGAATGTTTGGATATTACAGTTTTTCAGGAGATGTTTTGTTAAAGTGGTGTTCCAGAACCCTGTATAGAACCTAATCAGCAATATACTTCTTATATCCGTGTAAATGTCTGCTCAAACCGCAAGACATGTGCATCAATCTCAACTCTCTGATGAAGCAGGGTATGAAATGAGAGGTCCATATTGGAACGTACAGCATACACAAAGGCTGTTGCCCACCAATTCTTTCCACTCTTTCTCAGATTGTACATTCCGTGCCGCAAGCGAGATCTCTGCGATAATCATTTCATGGATCTCAAGTGGGAGGCTGGGTAAGCTGAGCTCCTGATGTTTGGAACTGTGTCCATCACCCTGGACCCCGGGTTCCAGCGATAGTTGCTCCCGTTCCCCTGCCATTGGATGTCACGGGTAGTGTCGAGATTGGATTATTGGATTATATCCGGATTCTTAGTGTTCCCTCTTGCCCTTACTGTGAATAGATGGATTGACTGCGTTTTCCCGTTACCAGGTCCCCAGAAGCATGAAGATAGGCTTGTCAACGTGATGTATTTGTAAATTGTTTATCGCAAGCAACTGATGACAACTTGAGAAATACTTGATGCCGTGCTATTTCAATCAAAGATAAAACAAAGTCAAGAGGAGGTGTTCGTATTTGACGTTGAGTGTCTGTTTGTCCTGAGGAGTTTTCGCTTTGGTCATTGGCAACGAAGAGTCATACATGAAAAATGCCAATTGTTGCCTAACACAACCAAATTTATCTGGCTTGGTTTGATTTTATTTAGCTAGTTGGCTAACTCCGTAGCTGAACGGAGCTCGAGGATTGCGTGTATTGTTATTTCTTTGGAGAAGAAGTACAAACTGAGATTTATGGGAGAAATTAATTTCACTTTTGAGATGACTTACGAAGGAAAATTTTCAGTCACTCTGGAATAGGAACATACTCAGTTGCCTAAGTTGTAATACTTCCCTATCATTAACTATTCATTCAAGAAAGTGTAGGGACAAATATTTCCACGCGGGTATTTGCACACAACCAAACGAGAAATAAGTATGGGATAATGAAGAGGAAATGAAACATCCATGGATGGTAAGAGATGCCACCAAAAGAGCCACTCACGATCAGCGGCTCGACAAAGGGCAACCCTTCACCTTCTTGACTGTATATCCGAGAAGGAACAAATGCACATAGAAAACAAAGGAAACTAACACTGCGCTTTTTTTTAATTTTTTTTTTTTTATGTCGGCTCCTAGTCAACAGAAGCCAAAAGCGAAGCATGAAAACGCAGAGAAATGGGAAGAGCTGAGGGGAAGCACTGTCCATCCATTCCAAATTCAATCCGATCCTATCCATGAGCGCCAACTTCCCATCCGGAGCTAGATTTCAGATCCAGAAGATAATATAATAATAATCCAAACAATAAGTAAGTAAAAAAAATATAAACGATCGGAAAAAACAGAAGGTAGAAAGAAAAAAAAAATGAAAAATACATACATACTCCGCTATGTCAATACTGAAAAGATAACCACTCCCCTTAGTTTATCCATTCCAGTTTCAAAATAACCCCATCTTCCCACCCTCCCGTTTAATTCCCTCCCGCAACTCAATCAAATTAGGGAATTCAAGTTCCAAATCCTTCAGCAGCTGCTCGCCACGATCTTTCCTTGAAAGACGGAGGTTCTCTTCTAAAAGCCGGATGTCTTGTTGTATCAGACGGTGGGAGTCGTGTAAAGAGAGTAGCAGCAGCTCGTCTGCATATTGGCGAAGGCGATGAAGGCGGGACTCGAGGTCCGACATTTGAGATTGGGCGTGATGCTTTGTGGAAGATGTTGAAGAGACGTTGAAGGGTTCGTGTGGGACGACTGTAAGGGGTGGTGGGAGGGCACCAGGAGGATTGGTACATGGCGCAGTTGGGTGAACGTAGACCATGGCAGATGATGATGTTGATGTTGTGAGAGAATGGGTGCGCGAGCTGGGGGTTGTGGGGGTGAGGGGTGAGACCGTTCCACCGCCAAGGTCATGCTTAACGTCTCGGGGAGGGTGCAATTCGTGCAAAGGTGCCATGGGAAGTTTATCGCGTGAAGCTACCGCAACTTTGGCAAAGGTATTTATTCCGTCACTGGATTCAATGCGGCTGGGAGTAGTAGAGTCTATACCACGACCGCAATTCGTATCTCGTTGTGATTTGAGGGGTGGGAGCGAAAGTTCATCATCATGTGGTGAGGGCATTTGCGTAATATAGTCGATCCCATGGAGGGTCTTTCCTGTTGATATGTCATTCCGGGCTGGCCGTGAAACTCTAGAGCTGCCGTCGGATGATCGAGGGAGTTTTGCTGGTGGAAGACCGCATTCTGCGTTCGTTGGCTCTGTTATTATGATATCTCGATCTTTATGTTGGAAGCCACATGAACCATCCGATTTTGGAGTTGGAAGGTCCGGCTGTGATAGTGGCACAGACCTGAAGGTAGATTCTGCTATGGATACCACTGGAAGTGATCGTTTCTGAGATTTAGCAGGGACGACATATACAGACGAGTTTGAGGGTGCCGGAGTTCTCTGGTTTGAATTGAGTCAGAACAAGGAGGGTCCGGCCTGGAGGAGAGAAACATCAAATGAATTATAAATGGAAAAATAACTGACCCGTTTCTGATCGAAAACATTGTCTGTAAAACCCATAATCTTCCCGCGCGGATCGGCAGGTTTGACTCGACGTTTTGAAGCTGGTTTTTCAGACTTTACATATGCGGATGGAAAATGGCAGCACTAATAGAGGGAACCCAACTTAGTTCAATGAAACAAGAGGTTGTTAAAACACTAGATCTGAAAATGAACAGGACTAGCAAGATCACGGAAACTTACCCGACAATTGCACAGTTCCAAACATTTTGGACAAGCCCATAATCCGGGAAGGCGCATAATATCAGCAGAATGCATATCAAAATGACGGAACAGACCACGGAAGCAAAAGAAAGAAGCGCATGTATCGCATCGTCTCCCTTTCCATTCCAGGTGTTCAATCCTGCATAGATGACATAGTTTGATGGCACGGCTCTGGCGTGCCCGCATTAGATCGTTTACCGCAGTTCCCAAGGACTTACGGCGTCCTATATTACTGGTATCCTCGACCTTATATCCTAGAATGGCTTCCCCTCGACAGATGACCCGGGAGCAAGTCTCTGGGGTGACGATTTCGGCCCATGTATAGCTTGAGAGGTGCTCGCAGCTTCGTCCACTAAGGAAGCAAAGCAAGCAGAGGTCGAAATCCTTGCATTCATTGCACCGTAGATGTCGATTCCAGATTGCGGTGCCGCAGAAATCGCAGGTTGCAATAACAGTCTCTGGTATGCGAACTAATGCGATTAGAGTGACAGGTTGATCATCAATCATTTCATCCCTCACCATTTGGGAAAAGAGCTTGGCCAGTAAGGGCAAGTCTGGGGGGAGAGCTCCAGGCTTGTCCTGTAATAAACTTAGCATAGCGCAAGCAAGAGATAGATTGGAACGCGCAACATCTGGGTGGCACAGGCGGTTGAAAGGAGGTTGCACGTAGTTGAGCCCAGCCTCCAGTGATAGTGGGTGCAGGATGTTCCAGACCATCTTCGTGGATATCGCCCCAAGATTCCAAACCTGGTGGGCTGTTGCAGGTGGGAAAACTACAAGCTCTCCGACTCTCTGCTCGTGGACATAGAGAGGGAAGTCTGCCTTTCGTAGTTCGTCGGGGGATAGGTTAAACCAGTCCACATGTGGAGAGGCACCATGAGCGACCATGAATGCATCATATTTGACCTGAGATTCAAAGTCCGTCCCAAAGCAGAAAACGGGCGGGTCTAAAGCGCGAGGTATCAGCTCTGAAATCCCGTATAAAGGAGATAGCTCCAGAAATTGCATTCATACCACTCGCTTCAACCAAAAGATTCAACGCGACGGTGGATGAGAAGCATCTATGGAAGCCAGACCTAGCATGCGTCAATAACGTGAGAAATGCATTGATAAATACAAACTCTGGACACTTACGAGGAGCCTTCTGAGCCGACATAAGCCATCATGACTTCACTGCGGGCGCACGAAGGCAGCCACTGAAATAAATCCACTCTCCCACCCCATTGCACTTCAGGTGGAAGCAGCCTCCTACATACTTCCAGCCACGCCTCCGGACACTGCAAATCCCGTGCATAGAGGTTCTTGAACTCTCTATATGACTGACGCGCCGTGTCTGCAAATTTCTTGAGGGTGAAACTGAGGTCCCTTGACGTACTGCAATTCCGAATTGGAATATCTAGTAAATAGAGTTAGCAAAATACGAGATGTGAAGATATCCACATCCATTTAATAATGGGCTTTGTTTGGAAAATACAAAAGGAGCAGAAAAAAGAAACAAGAAAAGAGAAAGGGAAAAAAAATCTAAATATCTATAGCGCCTTACTTTTCTTCGTCGACAGCTCTATTAAGCTCTCAATGGAAAACAATTTTTTATCCCATTGCGGTAATTTCTCGAAGTCCTGGATCACAAACGGCTGGCCGATGTGTAGTCTCTCGGAGAGCCAGTCTGAAAAGGGATTGGACAAGTCACTACTTGTGTTATTAACACTACCACCGACTGAACCATTGATATTTTGATATCCAAAATTTCCGGCTCCACCACAAACCCCAGTGGTCCTTTGAAGGTCGAGGATTGAGTAGCGCGGGAACTCGAGAAACGGCTTGCCACCAGCCAGCAAGTCCGCGGATCGAATCGAAACAAGCGGGACAACAGCTTGAACATCCGGGGGGGCTTTCTTGAGAGGAACAGTCGACATGATCAAGCCGGCCTAACCAGCGGTCCTCTTCAGTTGAAACAGGCAAAAGTTAAAAGGTCATTGCGTATCAAAAAACGGCTGGGATTGCGATATTCTCTTTCTCTTTTTCTTTTGAGATGATGGAGATATGAGAGAAGATCTTGAAGATATATATATATATAGGCGACGTTATTTTCAAACCCAGGTTTTGCGATATTTGGGACGACTTTCGAGGTAAGTAATCTGAATCGCGGATATGCGTACCTGGATCTAAAGCCCAACGAAACACGGAGAGATAAAGTTGAGGAGCACCAGACGACGCATGGAGCGATGTTATTTAAGTGGAAATCTGAACGGGCCAAAAAGAACCAGGTTGAACGAACAGAATGAGATGCAGCGACAGTCAGGCCTGGAATTTTGCGATGCGAAACGAGGAGATCGAGAGGGGTTGGTTGTGACGGTTGCGCTTTGAACCTCGGAGAACCCGATAGATGGCGGGAGTTATTTAAGGGGCGATTACGGCGATGGTTTGATGCATGAACACGAAGCAACTTATCTTTCAATAATCATTTATTCCCATTACCAGAAATGAAAAACGCGGATGCATGGGACAGCTTTTGAATAAACAAAAAGTAGTTATCAGAAGACGATCTTGGACTGTTGACTCTTCTACGGCGACAGCTCTACACAGAACAGCCAGTTCATTCGCAAAGCATCCGCGTCTTCCCAATTATTTACTAGTTAGGTGACCCTCGGAGGGTTGGATAATAGCTGACCCGACCCTCCTCTTGGGCTCTGTGGCTGACTGTCGAGATGAATCGCAGAGTGCGAGATAAACTCGTCCACCGAGACAGGACCAGCCCTGGGCAATATCAGGCTCCATTATTGTTATATGTGACCGGGTTGGTTAAAGGAGTTAGCACCGGGCTTCAATACCCGGACCCCTCTTCTATTTTTCTGCAAACGATGGGCCGTTGATCATTGAATCAATTCGATAATACTCATAAAACATCCCAAGGTTTCGGGGGAGTTTTCGTCCGCTTCTCTCTTCTCCAACATCGGTAGTTACCCATATGTCGGCGAAAACGGAATACGATAACCGTCAAAAGTTGAGATTGGAGAACAGCTTCCAGGATTGCGAGAGCTCCTGGGTCGGTAAACTGGACTCAACTAGTTAGTTATCCCCGTTTATGATGCCACATCACACCCGTGCCGAGAGACGATGGCAGCAATTAGCAGTGTTGATATTTTTCTAGGGGGCGGACAGGCTTTTGAAGTCCGGACAGTCTCAATAAAAGCCGGGCAATTCCTCTGTTAAACAACACGTGATCATTTCGGTTGCCCCAACTGCAACAACGGGCTCCATCAGCAGTTGATATACACTTGCATCCGTTTCCTCTGCTTCCTTCAAAGATCATCACACCATGGAGAACGCCCAAGCGGTTCAATACCTTGAGTCTCTACTTGGCAAAACGCTCAGAATTCATACAACAGACACAAGGCTTTTCGTTGGTACTTTCAAATGCACTGACAATGTAAGCTCATCAGTATCCACCTCGATTCAACCGCCTTGAATACTTCTCCCCCCAACCCCCCAAAGAATGAATCTCTAAGGAAATAAAATCAATCGATTCATGAATCATCGCATCTGACCACTAACAAACCGTCAACAGGATCGCAACATAATTCTATCCACCACTCACGAATACCGCTACCCTTCCTCCGTCCCCTGCGTTGTCTCCCGCAATGCTACAACTACAGATGATAAACCCGCGAACTCTATCAAAGAAGGCGAAATCCCAACTACTGGTGTTGTTAAGGCCGATATGACTAGTCGCTACATTGGCCTCGTAGTTGTTCCTGGCCAGTATATCACCAAAATTGAGCTGGATGAAATCCATCCACCACAAGTAGGGAGTGCATGCGAGGAACCACTGGGGTGAAGATCCTGACCATCCGCCTGTTGCTGGAAAAGTAAAAAAACGCAGAAAAATATTGAAGTTGAAATCCAAACCACGGCGATTGAATAATTCTTGGAGATTTCTTTCAGCCATTCAATTATTATTAAGTCTAATCCGCGTAAACGTTCTTCGGCCATTTCCGCATGCATTCCCTTTCATGGAAGCCCAGCTTGCGACTGCCTGACAACCAACTGAAATGGGCCCAACTGAGCTTGAAGAATCGTCTCGTCTTAACCAATCTGCGCGGTCGGATGTGTGCATATATGAGAATAGGATTATCGGAGTTCCAGTCCACGAAATGATGGCACGGGAATGGGGAAGAGAAGAGAAAGATTCATCACGTATGCGGTTTTGTGACATATATAGCGAGTATGGGTATGCCAAAGAAAGATGGGCAAATTTACATATCCGGATTGCGTTGAAGTTCTGTCTGTGTTGAAATGGGGCTCACATGGCTATTGCGGCTCGAGTTGTTCTCATGGCGAATGTCCATCATTCGGGCCAACTGAATTGAATTCCTCGCCGGGAGGTTTTCGTGGTCGATGATCTGGGTTATAAGCTCCACTAAGCTCTACCGGAAATATAGATAGGTACCTTCCACCTGCCGGTTATGCCCGCAATATAGCCCACAATATATTATTATTATAACTACCACCCTTTGCTCCCTGATTAATACACTCCCGATTGAATGAAATATGCAATCATCGCGGCCAGGGCGGCCAAAATCTGGCTTTGCTTCAGCATAGCATGTCTGGAAACATGCCAGCTGAATCCCATCAGACTCGCAGAGTAGTCAGTTAATACGAAGCCCAAAGTCACTCCAAAAGCAGAGGTCGCATTCATTTCCCACCTACAAGATTATATGAGCTCACAAGAAGAGTAAAAGTTCCAGTCCCCGTAAGCAATTTCAAGGGGCTTATATATTAAGTACTAAGGTAACTATAAAGTAGGTATCAAAAAAGTGTGCATTGGTTCCAAGCCGAAAGGCGAAAATAGAAATACGGGTTCGATAGTTATATACATGTATATGTATGATCGACTTTGGAGAATTTGAAAGGCAGAAGGGAAGGAAATTTCCTGCAAATATTTATTTCTCACTGGGGTTTTAGCTTTGGCTTTTCATATTTCAATCTTGCTGCTATCTCCTAGATTGCTGCTTCTTTGAAAATTCAAGATTGATACACAACGCGATAAAGACGAACATACAAGGACTGAACTAACTAATCTCACACAGAATATACATCATATTGAACGTACATGGGTAATGTGTCTTATTAGAAAGTAAAATTGAAGAACAACGAGAGGAAGATATATAGAGTGAAACACGCCAAATTCAAGGGTTTTCTAGGGTATAGATAGAGAGCAAAAAAAAAAAAAAAAAAAATGGAACAGAAGAAATTCAGACGTCACAAAGTACATGCAAGACTTCGGAATAGGATAGATCGAATTTAAAACCTCGCTCAGCTCTTATAAGGAACATGGTATTAAACGGAAGAAAGACATAAGATGGGTCTCATATAATTCAGAGGATCAAATGAAAAATAGAAACGTGGAGGGCAAGGTAGATGGAGAGAATACAGTCCAAGATACCATATCAAAATAGGGGCGAAGCTCCAAGTGGGAGAGCTAAAAGTTTCCGCACCAGAACGAGTCATACAGCTCCTGACTAATTCCACCGCGGAAGGGATTTGGCAGTTTGGTACTGTGCATACAACTGCCCCGGGAATGTGGTGGCCGGTGGGTTCCCTTGGGAGCGTAGGAAAGTAAGAGCGACCTCTGCAGCGTCTTCTTTGGCATTGTTTGTATTCTTGCCGTCATAAAAGTACCGCGCGACATATGTTCGCCCCTGGATAGTGACGGTGCTAGACCATGCCGTGCGGCCCCCTGGAACAGAAAGGAAGAGAGAAAACGGGTCAGCAACTGGTAACGACTTGTTCATATTGGTTATAACAGTTTGGTTTCTTGCTCGTCACCATAGAGAGAGCCTGAGCTATATCCAAATTTATCGAGAGAGAAATCGGTGAAAGGGTATTCCCGACAAGAGCTGCAAAACCTTTTCTCCTTTTTCTTTCCAAAGGACGAGAGGAAATTCAAGTGTAAAGAATAGAGGGGGGGTACCTCGACGGTCTGACATAAGATTGAAAACTGGTGTTTGGATATGGGATGCTTTGCAATGATCTTCGTGGGATTTAGTACTTGGCAATGTAGGAGTTTAGCTTTTCAAAGATATGTCAGACCTTGAAGCTTCTCCTGCCATGTAGCAGGTTGAACACAGGTAATTCTGCAGGCAGAATGGGCGGCACTAATGGTAGCCATGCTGAATATATTTTAAAGGATATCAAGATGGAAGGGAAAACTGAGGCAGCTCGGGGATATAAAAATGACTCAACCAGTATTGGCAGTGCTTGGATGGTTGTATAAGGGCAATGGAGAGCAGCACAGCATCACTTATTGAAGAAAAGAACCTTAGAATCTCGATGGGAGGTAAGCAAAAGGTGTTTTCTCTGTGAGGAAAAATATGCTCTTTTGTTTGTTGAGGAATTATGGAAAACAAGAACTAGAAGGATTGGATATCACATTATAAAGTAAGCAAAGCGCAGAGGAAAAATGACAACCCACACATCCATGAACTCTAGTGAAGTTCATGTTGCTTTGACAAGAGCAATGAAGGAGCCTAACAACTCGGTCTGCGTATGTTCAATTAAGTTCCACATTTCTGGTGCCTCCCACACACACTCTCTCTCTGGCATTCATCCAGCCAGCTCGGAAACTGACATGGAGAAGCCCCATTGATCCTGAGACGAGGCTGATGGAACGGCCCGCTGCCTGCACTTTCCATGAGATTCCGTGTTGAACTTCAGGAACTAGGTGGCTAATTAACTTAGGGACCCTGACACACAGGAAAGCAGCTCTCCTAAAAGGGAGATTTGAAAACATGGGATTTGCAAGTGGTTTGCCAGTTGGGGTCAACAAGTCAGACCTTCGATCCAAACACAAGAGATGGAGATATGAAGAGACATTCGGGGATGCAAAAAAGGTCTGGGTTGTCATGGGCAGGCCTGAATAGCTCGATATTGGGCTTTTCAGCCCCCTACGGCTTGGAATAGACAAGACAGTATCAACGCAGTAGTGCAACACTTAACTGAGATGGGCTACTGAACGAGATGGTTGGGCAGAGGAAATAATGAATGAACCCAGCAAAGGCTTGCCAGCTCATCAACAAATTAAAAGGGAAAAGACAGTCAGGGCACAAACAACTTAAAAAGGAGAGTGAGGCATGATAAAGCCGAAGTAGGGGGAAAGGCGGCCAGAAGAGAAGCTTTTAGTTGCGTGTGCTTCCAATCAATGGGCGAACTTGAGGAATAAGAGTACAGCAGGGACTCTCCCCAGCCTGGGCCTGTAAGACAGATATGGAATGAAAACTGACAAGCAAAGAACTGTGGAGAAACCTGAATCTGGATGGGAAGTTACATAGATTGAGTAAGTCCAGGGCAAGTGATTGATATGCTTTCCAGCCAGGCCGACATGCAGGAAAAACGCGGCACCAGCTGGGTGTTATGGACATAGCCCGTCCACGAACTGTCGATTACCTGGAGGTACGTTCCGGGCTTTCTTGCTACCATGATTCGTTTTTTGGTTGGTTAAGTGGAGGTTGGGCACACATACCTGCATTGTCAGCACGATACTCCACAGTTCAGAAAACTCACAAAAATTTAAAATGATTGACGGAGCGGTTTCAAAATAGAAGGGAAAAATTCAGCAAAGAATTGAATGCAAATGTGGACGAATGCGGGGTGGGGTTGAAGCTAAATGATGAAGCAGTTGTGATTCCAGCTTCAAAAAGTCCCCAATATCAACAAGATGATAATTAACTCGATGTTGAAAATACCTATTGATGAGGAGTGAAGCACCCCATTATGAGCTTCTGGAGGGACCATATTAAATAAATAAAGCTGAATTTAATTTATCCAATGTCGAACCAATGACGAGTGAACCAAAACTATATAAATGCTCCAAATCTAGATACGGCTTTCTTACCTCCAAAAAAAGAGATCGTCAATACAAACTGCATGAACTCAGCAAAAAGAAAAAATAAATAAAAATAAAATAAAAACAAATCCCAGCCACGTTTCATCGTTGAAAAGTCCCGTTCATCCCGAATGCTGCCCATTCCACCGGTCCCGGTAGCTAGCTCCTGCGGACCAGCACATGGTTGTTGATGGATGTGATGTATCTGAGTGTCCCCTGTTAACGCCGCCTGCATAATGATCGTATCCTGCGTCTGCACTAAACAGATTTTCCAGAAAGAAGAGTGATGGTTTGCATGAAAAATGCGCGGTACCACGTACATAAACCCAGGCATATATCATGATATGGGTTTGTTGTATGGTAGCGCCAAACGAAATTGAACCTCAATTGCTAGTGTCCAAGACGGTCAGAAATCCTATTCCCAGCTGTAAAATATAATAATTCATTAGATTGGGACAAAGCAAAAAGTCCATGTCAATAAACTTAAGTCATTATAATCAAAATTAGCAGCAAATACATAGTAGAAGACAAGAGGAGGACGACGATGGTTCTATGTAGCCATCAAAGACACATACAACCGCAGGAAAATAGCCTAAGCATGCGTAAACCTCTGCCGGAGTGAGGTGTGTTGAGACCCTGTCGAGCTACGGCGATGGAACACCTTCTCAATAATTTTATTCGAGGCCACTGAGTCCATGCTCTTCATGAGAGATGTGGTCATGGGATTGTGTGAAGAAGAGGTCCTTTTGTTCTGCCATCGACGTTTAATACTGTCGTCTACTAGAGCCATCAGACCAGTGGCAACGATGACACTACATCGTACGTTAGCAATTTGCAGTCATGATGTTTTGATGTGGGGGTTAAAAATTGGTACATACTCAGCAACATCCTGCATGCTTTCATACACTGAAGTATCGCTGATCCACAAAGAGCAGGGCGGGATCCAGCCGCCTTTGCTCCTTTCTTCCAGAGCTTCAAGGGGGGTTAGAGCATCTGGGATAATGTGGGCCACGGGTTTTGACTTGGATGAATGATAGAGATCATACGAGATTTCCTTGGAATCTCCGTCCTTTCGGCTAGTTCTTCGCCATTGATATCTCGTGCTCCAATACTCAAAGTCATAATGCTTGGGGCCTTTTGTACCTCTTCGTTTAACATCAACGTGCGCATAATTGGAGAACTCGAGTTGGATAATGTTTGTCGGCTCAGGGCTTCTGGGTCTAGGAAGAGATGACGTCGAACCTCTCCGTTCATCAACCTTGTCATTATTTTCCGTTATTGACTTACATTTCGAGTCTTGTTTCCACAGACCGCTGTTGGGGTTGATCGAATCAGACCTGGACCGTAAAGTGGAGAAAGCATTACTCAAGGGGCGCTGGAAAGCAGAGAGGTCGGTCGAGGGTTGATGGTACTTCCTGGTTGAATGGCAGACCTCTCTCCCAGATTCCCTACAGTACCGCCGAAGTGAGAATTTCCTAGCATGTAAATCGTACATGCGAAGGTGGAAGAGTATGATTTCGCACTGGCCTCTCTCTGGCTGCGTTGGAATGGTACCAACACGCAAATTCATGTTTCCATCAATTGTGGTATCATCATGTTGTATAAGCAGTCGCCTTGTCGATGGGAACAGCTCTGCGAAGCTTGATGCAGTTGACGGGATAGCCTCTGCCGGAAAATTCTCATATCTGTCGTCAACAATTTCAATTGGCGGTTTGTCATATATGCCATTTTCATCTTCTTCCTGTTCTGATATTATTGTCGAGGCGCATGTGTCTGTTGACTCTCTCTCCTCCACTCTAGCATGAGGGCTACGTTCCTCAAGCGTGATCAACACTGGTCGTTGACTGTAAGCAGTTTGGGAAGTGTTGTGTGAGTGATCAGACCTATCACTAGACGCCCATGTGGTGGAACTATCAGTCCTCACCGCGAGCTCTCGATGCGTTCGTTCGATGGGTTCCATGCTGAAAAGAATTAGAAATGGAAGACGGAGAATGCATCAAAAAATAAAAATAAAAAAAGGTTTATTCAATTGACTCTGCGGGGATTGATGTATGAACCAGGAAAGAGTGAAGTTAATCAAACAAGAGGGTGAAACAGCAAGACAAAACACACACTCTTAAAGTACAAATTACAAATCTGGATACATGGCTGTTCAAGATTCCGAACACTTTAGGAATAACAAAATTGGACGATATCCGCAGGAAGAGAAATACCATGGAGTATAGGAGGGGTTAATACCATGCCAAAGTCGAAGATCGGTATGTTGCGGACGGACACGTCAAAGAGTCCTCAGAACGACGATCGAGTGGGCGGCTGCAAGGTTGGTATGTTGCACCGGCTATGCTGTGATGGGTAATGATGAAACAAGCAGGATAATAACGGGAAATAGTACGAGAAATCCCGAGCCTCAGCTGGGGGGGTTGGATGGTGGGGGTCAAATAAATATCATTGGTAGCGAGAAGCAGGGACTCCATTCCCCAGCTTGAGGGTTAACTCTGCCAGTAGAAGCTTTTGTTGGGGAATTTCGCATCACTGGTGACTCGTGAGTGCAGTGCCAGCCCTAAAACCGGTTCAAACCAACAGTGAGATCACATAGGTGCTACTGACGACTTGTGAGAAGTGTAGATCCGATGCTGCATGCTGTTTGGGTTGGGACTTGGCGCACGATTGATTTATGGTGGTTGAAAAAACATACGAACGGTTGAACTGCGGTGGGTCTGGCTAACTCCTGACGGACTGGTCCCATCATACGACAATTTTCTAGGAGATGCGTTGTACTAAAAGACTTTCAAGCCCTAGCAGAGTTTGATAATGCCAGTCATCTTCATCAGTTTGACCATAGTCCTGCCATCCAGTCGTCACATTCAGCGAATGATCAGTCGACTTCAAATACCTGATCAAAGCATAAACACCAGTAACTGAAAAATCCATGTTGGGGCTATTTTGGATAACGTCCACGTAAATACTCTTTCGCTCTTGACTTTGTTGCCTGATTTCGGGATCGTTTGGGTCCTGTTTTACAACCAGATATCGAAAATATGCATGGAGTGTGAACATAATGGTGTTTAAAGACAAGAAGATATTTTACCTTTGTTCACTGTTTTAAAGGCCGATCCCGTGTTGAACTGGAACCAATGAGCTACAACATCATCTGCATTACCATCAAGAAGCGGCAAATCGAGTGAACTCAAGTGGAGAACTCTGTCCAGAACAGTCCCCGAACTGGCCTTGAGTGCACTCGTCCAGTACATCCTTTTTGTAGTTTGATTGACACAATCGTAGATGCAACTTTGGTCCCATCAGTCAGGAACCAAGCAGGTACCAAACACGACTTGCATAACCTCACTGCAAACATTCAAATGCCGGTCTTGCCCTAACCTCTATTGGTTTCCCGGTACGCGTGTAAGCTGGTTGTCAGCCTTATTTTTTAAGATATTGAGAGAGTAAACCGGTAAAGCGTTTGGTCTAGGTTGTGCCGGTCGCTGTGGGTGAATGTCAAACATAAATCAGCTTGAAGGCTCCCCAGTTTTGGGATATCAGAGCTGCACGGCTGAGTGAACGAAATATTAGCAAATGGGGGTTATGGAGTTCGGTTGCATATCATGAAAACACATGGAGATCACAGGAGACAGTTCCCATACCTATAAACAGACGACTGACAAAGCTCGGATCAGGGGTTGCTGCGCCACAGAGTTAAAAGTAAGTCAACAGCGCGGGTAATTTTAGAAGTCAAGAAGTGAGATATCCACGTGACTTTTAAATTCTGGCCGCGCAGATCCGGTTCTCCGCCCAGATATTCCATATTCAATTGTCAGAGAGAATACTCCGAAATAATAAACACAACATGTACCTGACTTATATCCTTCGAAAAGGAGAAATCGAAAGAGCGGAGAATAACTTAATATAAAATCATTGAAGCACCATGACTGCTCCGCAGCCCACAGAGTTATCTCCAACTTCAACTCAAGCTGACATGTCGCTGCGTACCAGCACCCTCCTCGCAAACTTATCAGCTGTAACAGCCCGCATCGCCTCCGCCTCCGCCTCAGCTGCGGCCAATACCTCTCGAACTAAGACTCAATCCCGGCCTCAAACACAACGTCCCGTTCGCCTTGTCGCCGTCTCCAAACTAAAGCCCGCCTCCGATATCCAAATACTACACAACCATGACCCAAGGCTACATTTTGGCGAAAACTACCTACAAGAACTTCTAGAGAAAAGCAAGGTCCTTCCATGTGGGATTCGCTGGCACTTCATTGGTGGCTTACAGTCTAACAAGTGTGTAACCCTTGCGCGGGACGTGAGGGGCCTGTGGGCAGTTGAGAGCGTGGATACGGAGAAGAAGGCCAGTTTGTTGGATCGCGGGTGGGGGGAGCGGGATGTAGATGTAAATGAAGAAGGTGGGAAGAAGGGTCAAAGCATAAATGCTGGTGATAGATTGCGAGTATTTGTCCAGGTAAATACCTCTGGTGAAGAGAGTAAATCTGGTGTGAAACCGGCGGAGGCCGTGAGTCTCTGTCGGTTTATCAGGGAGAAGTGTCCGCGGTTGAAGTTGCAAGGATTGATGACCATTGGGGCAATTGCAAGGTCGAAAGCAACGACGGTGGAAAATGAGAATGAGGATTTTGTATGTCTGAGAGAGACGAGGGATATGGTGGAAAAGGAACTTGAATTGGTGGCGGATGAGGGAGAAGGGGGGGCGGAAGGCTTAGAGTTGAGTATGGGCATGAGTGAGGATTTTGAAGGGGCGATTGCAATGGGGAGTAACCAGGTCAGAATTGGGAGTACGATATTTGGGGCCAGGCCGCCCAAGGAGCAGGCTCGAGTGGTGTAAAGGGGAATAAAATATTCATCGGAAATCTGTTGGATTTTGGTAGGGCCGACAGGTAGTCACGATAACAAGGGCCATGTATTTGACGGCACGCAATGCTAATTCTTTCCATGATCTCTTGTGTAGTTGAAGTTGTTTTATGTACAAGCACAAATAGAAATAAATAAGAACCGTTCGTATTTGACCAAGAAAATGTGAGGTGCCTTTCTGGATCACGCCCACAGGGGATAAGATGCAAATGTGGAATGGGAACAATAAACCAAAAAAAAGGAAAGAAAAGAAAAAAACCCTTTGAGACTGACAAAACAAAGTGGGGTATGGCAGTTAAGAGGAATGACATGTATAAATACTTTCTTTCTCGGGGGTGTTCTGTATTTCTATTTACTATGTTTTATCTATCCCAATCATCGGAGCCATTGTCGCGAGAGACACCATGGGCTAATCTCTCTTCCATCAGCTTTACCACTGCTTGGGGCACGGCATCTTGGGTCGCGCGGATCGTTAGACGATACATCTATATTCCCGGTTAGGTATACAGGACGAAATGACGGGGTGCCTACTTGAAAGCAGGTAGGATTTTGGGGAAAGATGATGCATACCATCTTCTCATAATTCGGTTCTAACCGCAACAGGCACCCAGTTTTACCACTATCCGTTTGGTAAACCGAACATCCGACCACATTTCTCGAATTGGGATCCACTCCATTAAGAATCTTGAACCTAAATCCTTCAACAATCCGACGCGTGAATGCCTCCGTTATCGTTCGACCCTTACTATGGAGGCCAAACGTCGACTGTGCCTCTAGCGGTGGACCTCCTATTTGACGCCATCGCTTGAAAAAGTCATCAGGTGATAACGTCGACGCGTCCATGTACTTATGCATAAGGACAGGTAGTTGCAATGTGTATGCTTGGAGAGCACCAGCCAGATATGAAATTCGAATAGTTGGTGGCTTGGTGAACGGCCCTTTGGCTTCAAAGCAAATTGTTTGTTGAGTCTGGCTTTGAGCGGGTACATCCGGATCCGGCATATTTTTGGTATCGATCTTAATGCTTTCGGGAGAAGGGTTATCCAGTGTTGTGGTAAATGAGCCAATTGGGAAAGTAGATTTGTTGGTGAAGTATAATTTGCACACGCCCAGATGAACGCGGTACTCGGACCGTAGCCCAACTTGAATCTGGGCGTCTTCAAATAGGACACCTTCGTTTTTGAAGTAAAGTCTGTTGTAACCAATTTCCCAATCAGCGGAAAGATGGGCAGCACTGGCTAGATTCAGTTCCGCGCCATCCGTATTGGATAGCAAATCCAAACCAGCTAAATCGTCCGATGTTGTAGTTTTTGTTGTTCCATTAGAGCCTGGTTTTCCGTTCACAATAGCTGTGAAAGAGCGTTTAAGACCCGATTGTTGGGCCAATATAACTTCCTGCTTATCGGCATTCGCATCTTTCCCACCAACGACCCAGGTTCGCTTGTCGCTAATCCCAGCACTCTTTTGGTGGAGTCGCGAGAGCAGGACCGATGTTCTTTCCGAGAACGGCGGCATCTCATCGCAAACAGTACGAAGAAGGTCATCCGTCGGCAGGGTTGTAAGCGCAAGATACTCACAGGCTCTTTGTTGCAGTTCAGAATCCGGTGATTGGCTGTATATTCGGAACACATGAAGCAGTTGGGGTTTGATCTCGGGGAACAAATTGACAAATTTAACGAAGGATGAAAGGATTAAAGCGCGGGTTGTGTCTGAGCAAAAGCTCATTTTGGCCTGCAAAGCCAAAAATTGTTCAATCGGACTGTATCCCTTATTGTCGGCAATCAGATGCCCAAATTCACCTAGTATATAGCCACCAATTTTCACTAAACTATCGTGACAATCGCCCTTAATATATCCCAACAGGTGTTGCGCGGCGTAGGCTTGGAGCTCCTCATTGTTGGTAACAATCTGGATAACTCGTTGCCAAACTTCATCGCTAACATGGTCACCAGCTAGAGAAAGCAATTTTAGAGAAATATCAATGTACCATTGGGCATCAGTGGCATATTTTTCGGTTAATATAGCAACCTTGAGAACCATTTCTTCGCGGATGGAATAGTCGGCTGTTTGTAAATATCGTAGAAGTTCATTTACAATCGGACGCGCGTTAGAAGTATCACACATGCTATATAAAAGATCGAGGCCTTTGCGTCGAACACTGATATCGCGGTCTCGTAAGGAGCCAAGTATGATATTTTGGTGTTCCTTAATGGGATCAAGAGTCTCCGCTCTCGCTGCAAAATGCGTCATGGCTTCAAGACCAAGGTAACGTACGTTTGTCTCTCGGGATTGTATGAATTTCCCGAGACGTGATGATATTTGCACCATGAGACTATGTTCAGTATCGAGGTGTATAAGAAGGTTAATCGCTTCAAAGAGAACTGCATTTTGAGCATTGTTCTGCTGTACATTTGTTGGCGTTTCCATAGCTGAGTGCATGATCTGTGATATGGACTGTCGGATGAGGTCTCTGACGTGTGTATCATCTACAAGATTTAGGATGTTAGTCAAATTGCTTTGGGAAGAGCGCACTGGAAATTTCCATACCAGAAGGAGGGTAATACTGAAGCAACCTTAGAAGCTTCACCTGAACCCAAGGACACGGCACTTTGTAATATATGTAGTCCGGAGAAATGTCGTTGTCCACGACAATCCTCTTAAGCCGCTGGGCAGCTTTCGCGTAGCTCCCTTTATATCGATCGGGATTATCCTGGACAAGGGCCATAACGAGAGACATAACCGAAAGCGTGACACCCATGTCCGGGTCATCCATTAGAGAGATTATCCGTTCCGCCCACTCCGGTTGGACAATTCCGGGATGCTTACGATACAATCGTAAAAGCGTAAGAGCGGCCTTCTTCTTCACAAACGCCTTCGAGGTCCTACGCAGAATAGTGAGTAAGGGAGCCAACAAAGTATATTATTCAATAGCAGAACAACACTCACGGAGAGATCAAAAGCTTATGCACATCGACGCTTAGAGCTTCACCCATCTCTCTGCCACCGACATTAGCCACCGCATGTAGTGCCAGACAGTTATTTAGCTCATTATAATCCAGGAGGTCTTTCCGGATGCTGTTGACGACCAAATGCAATAGCTCGTGTTGCTCATGAAGAAACAGCGTGACGGCCAAATAACCAATCTGTTTTTCCGAGTACTTGTTCGCGGAGATCAAATTCACAGCTTCCAAGTGTCCAAAATCAATGTCATAGCCTTGTATATAAACGTACAGCAGCTTGCAGACATATTTCTTCTTCTGGTATCCATTGAGGTTCGCGTCCTTGAACTTCTGCCGGATGTTCGCCAGTTCCTTGTTGATCCGTTTCTCTTCCAATTCCCGAGCCCGCGCGTTCCGTAGGTCGGCAATGAACTGAACCAATCCACGCATGGACGACATCTTGGCCGAATTGCTGTCACCAGCTTTCCTGGTGATGGTGTAGTCCTTGAGCTAATTGGGCTCTCCGCAGCTAGCTATGCCACACTACGCACAACGCATCAACCACGCATAGTTCTGCTCGTCAAGGCTAGGAAAATTCAACCAGCATCGTGATGTCTTGAGAATATAAGGAGGATGTTGAGACGACGCAGGATTGTGCGAGCGCGGCGGATTCGGAGATAGTTGGCAAGACGATTTATTCAAGAGCAACCCTGAAGTGTCTCGATTCTACGTGGATAGGGACAACAACAAGAGACTGGAGTTAAAACAGGGTCCGGTAGGTAAGGCAGAAAGCCTGGGGAAGACTGATAGGCAACCAATATGGAGGTGAGACTCCGTTGAAAATGAGTTCTCCTGGTAGCAGGATTACTCTGATCACCGGCTAAATAAATACACCCGATATGGTTTGACGTCGACCTGAACATTGTTGATCACACCCTATTTCCCTATGAAGAATGCGGCGGTGCTGGAACGGATTAACTTTGATGCATCTCTTAACATAGTAAATTTTTTGCTTATTGAGCGCTTACTTCAGCAAGCATCAGATCAGGTGACTCATGAACTGCCCAGGCGCTGGAGAATGCCAGATCGACGCGTTTTCAACTTCGGCTCAAAAATAGCTGATGGTGATTCGATTTGCTGGGCGTCATGACTTTGATATCCGTCCTCAATGGTGGCATTACGGACCCGGTATTTTATTATTGAGATGCTCCTCATATTTTGCATTGGAAGCCACGCGCGCTAACAATGTCACTTCAGAAACCGCGGTGGAAATTTTTGCTTCGAAGCTTGCTTTTCAGGTGGACCTGAATTCCGACACTTCAACGATTCATTGGTATCAGAAATCATTAATTTGTTTTCTTTTTTCGATTAGAAAACAACCCAAAAAGGATAGCTCATGACCTATTGGAGCAACGGGAAGATGAATATATGAAAGTCCCAAGGACAAAAAACGCCTAATGTCAAACCATCATAAATACAAGAAAATTAACACTGTTCATCCAAGGCTCCAAATCATCCCAGTAGCCTTACAACTGACTGATTCCCGGCGAATTCGTTATTGCTGAGATTACCCGTTTCTGCTAATCAGGGATTCATGCACCCATATGCCTTAGGTGGTAAAGTCTGTCTCTGCAGGGAAGTTCCCTTGCGTCAATCGCTTTTGTGCAAATGCAACAGTCTAATCCACACACGCGATGCGACAGGCCGCTATGTTGGATAGCATGTGGGCTTTTCAACGACTCCAGGAAAAAAATTTAAAAAAAATAGAAAAAAAAATAAATAAAAACTAACCCAGAAAACAGCAAAGCCCTTGGACTTGGGACTTGTTTCCCAAAGGAATCCCAAAGCATACTTTGCGAGCTTAGTGAAAATCTCGGCGAAGGAACAAGCTGGGAAAATGGTATCGCAAAGGATGAAAGAAAGGGAAAAAATTCGTACCGGCCGCTCTTTTACCACATGGACTAGTTTTTGATCTCTGTCAAATGTGGCTGATTTTCAGACTCGGCACGTTCGCAATTACAATTGCCAGAAGGACGGCTTCCTAAAAACCTGTCACAGTGGATGCACTTCTTGCTTTCTATAGATCCACTTTCGGCTTGATCATCTTGGGCCTGAAGTGTCATTTTACTCCTTTGCTTTCTCGCAACAGTGTAGGGCATGTTGTTTGCCACATGATGCGTCCCTTGCTTAGAAGCATAGCAGCACGAGAAGAGGTGGAATAGCCATTGGGTACTTCTGTTGCTTTCAGGAGCTCTATTCGCCTGGATAAAATTGGTTGCTTGAAGGTTGGAAACTGGAAAAGAATTGGCTGGTGTATAGATTCAATATTGGGCAATGACGGTGTATGCGATGAGGTAATTAAAGTTCTTTGGATCCAGATAATCACTGGTTGCAACCCAAGGAACCTGGAGAAAAGCTTGTTATTATATTCATCAGCCTTAAGGGGAGCCACCCCGAAGGCCTGGATGATCACTCAAAAACCTAAAATTAGTCACAGGAGCATACTTGAATCGTTCCAACATTAAACACAAAGAACCAATAAAAAATCATGAATTCTTCTCTATTCAACAAGCTGCCCTCCTCCTGTGATAAGTTTAATACCTTAGGTATAGTTGCTATTTCCTGCTGAGGCTCTGAATGATGAATCATTGAGGGATTTAACATTGCATCTGTCCTTATTGGCTGAAAACCAGTTTCAACATCAGGAGTTGAGCTGCTGCTGCTTCACAAGTGTTTGTACTGCAGGTAAAACCAGTGAAAAGAGGCTCCTGTGTTAAAAAAAGCACCTGAGCAAACTCTGACTCATCTCTCTTCAAGCTTTCGTACCCATTCTTCTTCCTATATTGCATCCATACATATATGAAGTACAAATGGCGATGTGATATTCCCCCGTGACTTGATATTTCATTGTTGTTCTCTGTTGCCCTGTTTCAGTCAAACGAAACCAGCGGTCTCCTTGTGTCATTAGTGGAATTCCCTTACTCGTTTATTTACAGTTGTATGCACCAATCGTTCAATAGGCATATAGAAATCGTTTGCTCCGTTTCTTATCTTCCCATACACTCTCTGCAGCCTGTTAAGAATGACGTTTCTGGCCCCCTACACGTCTTTGATGCGGCTTGGCCAAGGGTTAGATAACCTCCCATTTTATGTTATGTCAGATGTCTGTTTACAGACGCTGATTTTGAGTTGTTGTTATTGTCAGGTTCAATTCCTACACCCAACAAATCTGCATTGATGACGCCATAATAATCCATAGTCATCCCTCTGATGCCTCTTTGAATCACTGTGATCTTTTACCGGGCCAGTACCCATTTGGTAACGCAGATTCACCTGAGAGGGATAACTGTGAAGTTGCCCCGGTAGAGACGACTATTCAAGCTACGGACGATTGTCTACAGCTGCAGCCTTCCCCTACGAAACCCGAAAAAGTTAAAGCTACAAATGTTAATCAGACAGTTACATATACTGCCCACGCAATTGACAATCTCGCGGACGTCGTTGACACCCTTAATATCTCCTCCAGCGCTACTATCAGTTATGCGAGTAGCCAGGCCAATGGCTCCACTAATTTTGTCAAGGAAAACAATATCAGCGAGAGCGATATCAATTTCATCGTCTCCGTTAAAGTGACTAATGAACTTCCCATACAGCCAACTCAGTTGGAGTTTCGGGCCATGGAAGGCTTAGATCCTGATCGGTTCTCGGAGGTGTATGGCGATTGCTTTATCGCGGGCTTCCTTGAAGGCGGTGAATTTTCAGCCATTGTTAGTATCAAAGTCCACGACAAGAACAAAATCTCTAGGGTGAAATTGGCGGCGGAAATGCAGCTGTCTGCTACGAATTACTTCCAACCTTTAAGTGGTGCCTTAGCCGAGAGGGAAAAAGAAGATATCTGGACAGATACTGAGCTTAGCATTTCGGTGACATGGTCGGGGGGTGGCAGCATCAAAAAACCCAAAGTACCGCATAACTACACCACCTCCTTTGATTTCTGGCATGTCCAAGTCTAACAAGATTCTATAGGCGAGTTGGGACCTGCAAACTATAATCCAAGCTGCCAATGACTTTCCCGCCCAAGTTTCGAAGTATTCACAGAAAACTCAGGCGATTCTGATGAGCTACAACTCTGTTCGATCCTTCCACGAGTTCAATGCAAAATCTGCACGACCATTTGTCGTTCTTGACTATCGCTTGTGTGGTAACTATTGCCGTAGATTTCTGCATCTACCAAAACACTTAAACTCACAGATTCGCAGAGATATATACTGCCGAGTTGCTCAGTGCATTCATCGCCTATAAAACTTTATGGAAGCTAATCTCGAAAAGTAAGCTGTTAATTCAACACACCAAGGTGCAAGTGATTCTGACTTGTTTTACTAGTTATTAGAAACCCTGAGCTTTATCAGGCGAAAGATGCAACCGACAAGGTTCCCGACCCTATTCAACCTGACTCAATCTCCCTTAACCAAGCCAAAATTGAATGCAGAAAGGGGATGACCATGATCCTTGAGGAAGTAAGGATATTTTCTGACAGCTTCCTGACCTGGGGATTAGTACATCCAAAGCTAATATCATAGACAAAAATGCTCGCACGGAAACCACATCTTGGTATGATTAACGAACAGGGTACTGTAAAACAGCTTCCTCGCCCTTATGCATCAGAAATCGCTGCGAGACTTCCTGTAGGTGTTTCGATATGCCATGTGTCTTCGAGTGTGCGAAGTTACTGAATTCTCACTCTGAACAGGTGTACATTGGATCTCCTGGAAATGGGGACCACCAGGGCCTCAGCCGTGTTTCTTCGATACCTGAGGAAATTAATGTTGTCAATAAATACGTTTCAGGTCCTTCGATCCTCCCACAGCTAGGGGACAATCAAAGGGGGAAGCTTCCCAGCGTTAACGACACCTTCTACTCAGCCACTTCCCCCGATGGACAAGAATATTCCAAGTAAAACCTCCCCCTTTACCCCCAACCCTGTGCCTCAGAAAGTAATCATCACTAAATATCTGCAGCAACAATCCTATCCGCTCCATAGACAACGCGAACGGTCGTGAAGACATGGATGGGAATTGGGGACGCACGAAGGCTAGTCGATCTTGCTTCCTCGCACCTAGCTTCATTGCTACTGCAAGCCTGAACTGCATTGGCCTAGTCTATCGCGTTATCTTACTGCGATGCTTTTTCCCGAAGCCCAAGCACGTGCAATTCAAGACTCCCAGGGGAAGCTCAAATCAAGAGCAGCCCTTTCGAGAACAGCAAGTGGCAGTTATGGCTGGGGCGGTTACCGCACCTGAATCTTGATAGATTCACAGTTTCTTTCCAATGTGAATGGAGAACCGAAAGCGACAGGTTGCCTCGTTATAGGTAACCCATACAATCAATTAGGGAAGTTAGGAATGCAGTTCAGGGGAAGATCAAAGTGTTCTACTAATTTTTAATAGGCACAAACTGTGTAATATATTAAATATAGGTATATATATCAAGATAGATTTAAAATGATAAAAATATTTTAATAACAATTCGTCTCTAATATACAACAAACCTTTGTAAAGAGAGTTGAATAAACTTCTACGACCCCTTGCTTATGGTTCCAAGGGTTTCGGGGGTCACATGTTTCCGCGTTCCAGCCACGCGGTTTCAAACCTTCCTTTGGCGTCAAAAAGTTGAGCTTCTTCAACCCGACAAACGCCCTGTGCGATGTTAAACTTGACCACTCTCCCCACGAACCAGGAATTCAACAATCCTTTTGAAAGATTCTGAATAGGTGGCGACGAGGTAATTCTTTTCAAAACCCATCGCCTCATATTCCCTCGACCATCTATCCACTCGTTATTTCGATTTAGTCTTTATCCCCCCAAACAAAAGAAATACCACCAGTACGGACTTGAGAACCTTCGGGAAAGAAATTGCGATTACCATTGTGATGTGGCGTGTTTCTCGTTCCCGCTAATACATGTCATATCCATTGCTAGAGATAGGGGTTGGTTAGCTTTTATATTGAACTGAACTGCATTGAAAGAATAAAAATGGGCGATTTCGGGAAGCCATCGCGCCCGTTGAAACGGAGAAAAGTTGCTGAAGGATGGAAGGAGAAGGAGATTTCGACGAACGGATATGATATGAATGGTATGATGACGGGTATGAAGGATAAGAAGAGTGTGAGATTTCAGGTTGAGAGTGATAGTGAAGGCGAGAGTTGGAATCTCAATGACCTATCAAATGGAATGTCTAATGGGGATGTGGATGGGAATAGAGATAGTGGTCCGGAGGATGAACGAGGGGAAGAAAGAGAAGGAGGAAATGATACTACTGGTCCTCAGCCAGAGCCTTCTCCTTCGCCGTCGACTGGACGAACAATGAGGTCTAGGGTGCGGCAGAGTAGTTTGCCCAAGAGACATATTGGGGCCTCGCCTATTGAGGGGCCGAAGATGTTTCAGCGAACGAGGAGGAAGGAGGGGAAGACTGGGAGACGAGGGGATGAGGAGAATGTCTCACATCTTACGAAACGAATGCGACAGGCTAGGTCTGTCAATGGAGTCGATGGGACAAAAGTGGGGACAGCTGCTAAGGGAGATGGTGATATTGATGTGCGTAGATCAAAATTGAGGACAAGGAACAAGCGGACCGCGGCCAGTAATCGGACACCGAAAGCGGCCAAAGTTTGGGAAGTGCCCACTGATGATGAGATGATGGAAGAGGAATTACTTGACGTTGCTACAAATGAGCTAGGTGAATATCTGTCTGCACAAGCAGATGTGGAAGAGTATGATGATGAGAGCCAAAACGATCTTTCCGCTCTACAACTGCAGCAAGAGCTGGTGGATAACGACACGCACATGGTCGAGGCTGATGAATTGCCTCACTACGCTAGCGAGTTCAAGATGTTATGCGAAGAAAACAAGCTGGGGAGCCATGTCGAATCGCTCGCCCAGTGTATTCTCAAGAAACTTACAGGCAAGCACCCCATACCACTGCGGTGCTTAGACCCCCAATACCAAACTGTTCATCAACTTGTTGAGCAGACTGTGGTCGCCGGAGAAGGGAATTCATTACTTCTCCTTGGATCAAGAGGCTGTGGGAAAACTGCAGTTGTGGAAAGCGTTATTTCATCTGTAGAAAAGGATCACGAAGACGACTTCCACGTCGTGCGTTTAAACGGGTTCATTCACACCGATGACCGAGTTGCTCTGAGGGAGATCTGGCGCCAGCTGGGGCGTGAAATGAATACAGAAGAAGAGACTAGTAAAACAATCAGCTACGCTGATACTATGGCTTCGCTGCTTGCCCTTCTCTCGCATCCTGAGGAGCTTTTCGGAGTCTCCGAAGACCCTAATACCATCGCTACAGCGAAGTCGGTTATCATTGTTTTGGATGAGTTTGACCTATTCGCCTGCCACCCACGCCAGACTCTACTATACAATCTTTTTGATATCGCTCAGGCGAGAAAGGCTCCGGTGGCTGTTTTGGGGTTGACGACAAAAGTTGATGTCACTGAAAACTTGGAGAAGAGGGTGAAGAGCAGATTTAGTCATCGATACGTGTTTCTACCCCGACCGCGGACATTTGATGAATTCTCAGATATATGCAAAGCGGGGATGATCTTGGAAGAAGGGGAATTACCTGATGATGGTCTGGATAATTTGAAGTCCGGTGAAGGGAAACTGTTACTCCAAAATTGGAATGAATATCTTCAAGTGCGTTTGTTTTACCTCCTACCGGCTTCCCAATACATTTTCCAAAATAACTAACTCCTTAAACAGGGTCTCTGGGCTGACCCCGCGTTCCAAATGCACCTCCAGCAAATCTACCACCAAACCAAGTCTCCCAAGGATTTCTTCGCTAGTGCACTCCTTCCAATATCCACACTCTACCACAGTTTACAGAAAACGCCCAACTATCCGTCCAGCCTCCAGCCCCCAACACCAAAATCATTCCTTTCTCAACCTCTCTCCTGTCCAGATCCAGCTTCCCTCCCGTTTCCCCCATCTACTTCCTCCACAAGCAATACTTCCCTTCCCCTCTCTCTCCTTCTCGCCGCCACCCGTCTAACTGCACTGCACGAACCTGGGCTCAACGTTGCCCAACGCCAAACCCCAGCTCCGCTCACCCTCTCTTTCCCAGCGGTATACGCAGAATATGTCCGCCTATTAACTTCTGCGAAGGTATCTGCCTCTTCTTCTGGTGCTGCAGCAACTCCAGGGCGCGTATGGGGTAAGGACGTGGCCAGGGAGGCGTGGGAGCGGTTGGTGGGTTGGGGCCTAGTGGTTCCCGTCGGCGGTGGAGGAACAGTGATGGGAGATGGCAGAATGTTCAGGATTGAGATTAGCTTTGAGGAGGTCCTGGATGGAGTTGGGGATAGTGGAGTGGGTGCTTTGGGCAGATGGTGGAGAGAAACATAGTATTTGCGATTGCTATGTTGATATGTGGACCTGTCTCTATTTCTACTTTTGTTATGTTTTTTCTTTCGTTTTGTTCGATGGCATGCATGGATGGACAATGAATATGATATGCATATAGAATATAGACGGATCTGCACACCCGCCATTATTTGACCATGTTGGAGCAGAAGGTTCTTTTTATTTAACATCATGTGATGTCACTACCGTTTTATCCTCGTTCTGTGTCCGGAATATTTGAAAACTCCTTTCATATTCGACAGAATTAGAAGTCTCAATACCGACACCCAACATAGTGAATGGTTGCAGGTAAATGTAAATGGTAACAACCGACACCCGACGCCTTATAGCAGATACATGGAGTGTACATCCTCTTAGATATGACGAGGTCCCTTTATCCGCTGCTACTACTTCCGCACATTTGGCTGCAAGGCCAATTGGGCAGTACTTGAATGAACTCCTCACCAGGAAAATCTCCTACGGAAGCCGAATCTCCCAAAAACCCAAGAAGAAAGATGTGACATGACTGTGAAGAAGCTAAATGAGGTCCAGCTCACAATTATGGGACAGTAGCCGTTCCTTGTTGAGTAAGCACACGGTGCTAGATATCAATCATGGAGATCAACTGATATAGTGTCTGTCCATGGACACGACGTTACGGAATGCAAATAGCGATTCATTATATTAGTCCCATCCAACCTTACATTCTGCATTGTTCTGGCTGCTAAAGGCCATACGAAGACCGATGCAGGAAGGTTATATAATTGGCTCGGTGAAGATCTCCAGCGCCTCTGAAGTCAAAAAGGGGTTGGAGAATTTTGGGCCTCAGCGAGATCATCAGCAAACTAATCCGTATCGATCTGCTGCATAAGAAAGGAGGAAATGGTTTGGAGGGTAGCGTCATGGCTTTCTTTGTATGCTGACGGAATATCTCATTTTCGGATTCGAACCAGAGAATGTGCATCCTCGCCTCACAGTGAGGCGGATGATTGACAAGGTTTAGCCTAAATCGAAATAACTGCTGTATGCACTCCGTGCACTCACACGGCTAGCGACAGTGTATTTCCTCCAAACAACAGCGCAAACCAAGAAACATTTCTCTGTCTGAAATAATGAACTCTCTGAGTCAGTGCATGCGACGCGGCACCGTCAAAAGTTCTCACTGCCCACGATTAACTTTAGTCTTCACACCATCACGAATTCCCAAGCGTGCCGCAATTTCCCAGCCGCGAAATACCATTGCCAGGGCTCTGTCATCTTCCATGACACCGCTAGCGCCCCGCTCGTTTCCAAAAGCTGGTTTCGAAGTGATTGATCATTCACACCCCGTTGAGGCGTAGAAACTACTGGACTCCCAAGCAGAGATATACTACCCAGCAACACATTGGGCAGGTTTTCAACAACAGGTACCAAACCGTCGGCAAGTTGGGGTACGGAGTTACTTCTAAAGCATGACTTGCTTGTGACTTAGTGTGAGGACATCTTATATCGAATTAACTAATTTTGTCGGGCGACTACTCTATTCCGTATCAACAATGTCTTCAGGGAACCCTATAATCCTGGTTACGTTGCGCTAAAGATCTGTGCTAGGGGATACACGCGAGGCAACGAGGTCGCCATGTACCTACGCATAAACACTGTCACTGGAAAGACAAAACACTCCGGACAAGAGCTTCTTCGCAAAAATTTCATTCTATCTTTTAAGGGTGTAATGATTTCATGGAAAACACACGTGCATTGTGCAACAGGCACTGGGAATTACCATGGACCACCCCTTTCAGTATTTAAAAAATCATTTCCTGGCCCTTGACAGCGTGAAGTCATTTCTTCGGCAGATATTTTTTGCTTTTGGACTTTCCATACAAGGTCATGGTCTTTTTTTTAATACAAAATTGCACTGTTGTAACACGTGGTTTTAAGACCTCCAACCAAAAAAATCTTCTCCTTCCGTGAGCACTCTACCCTTTTTCAAGGAATTCGAGGATGGTGAATGCGACGGTCTATTAGACCAGAAAATCTACAGGCACCGGACCATTTATGGCTCGAGACAAGAAAGAGTGGCCCAATCACGCCGCCGAGAATATTAAAGACGCAAAAGACAAAGATAAAGAGGGCTTCCTGCGCTTCCTTTCTAAGATCCTTTGTTGGCTACCTGAGGGATGGCCGAGTGAGCAAAACTTGACTAGAATTAGGAGTTGTTGTCTTGAAACCCACTCCACTTACTCTTAGTTAAGGGGAACGGAGAGGAAGGGCCGAAGGTGGTCATTTAGGTGAGGTTGTCCTTTGAACAACAGTTAAAGGGTTCGAACTAAAGGCTTCCACGATTTTGTAAGTATCGCACCCTTATCCTGGTCACAAGTCCTAAAACACTTCCCATTTCGCCTTCTGTTCAGATCCCGAAACTAACAGCTACTCTGGAGGATAATTGGTATTAACTATGACTTTCTAGAATAATATATTGACAGAAATGAACGGAATTTTGATGAAAGAGTGCAAGCATTGAAAAACTAGCCCACCAGAATTGGTGTTAGACCGGATGTCGTGGTACTTCCATTGCGCGACTTAATAAACTTCTGTCCCTATTCAAAGACCGCAACCATCTACCAGTAAGCAACAAACAGAAGACAGGGCTGAGTAGGAACACCGCGTAACAATGGCTTCCTTTCGACTTAAAACGCGTAGGTTGCCATGGGAATTCTCAACTCTTTTCCTGGAAACCGTTTCACATTACTAGAGCACATTCCATTGCTCCGGGGATACTTAGTTGAATCAATCCTTCTTGCAAACTATTTCCATAATTCCCTTGCGATCTTCAAAAAAACAGAGCCACCAGCCCATTGGCCAAAATGCAACGTGCTACTGCAAGAACTTTCGGTGCCACCTCCTCCTTGATGAGATGGAGTGGCGTAGGCCTCGGATCCGTGAAGATACACGACGGGCGAGACGGAGAGGTTGGGTTAATAACGTGTAATGCATTATTGAGAGCATAGAGGTAGTTGTTAGTATTCATAAGACTATCTCACTTGAACATATCTGGACTATGGCTAACAAATACAATCCTCGGGATCCTGGTGTTGTCGACTACAACATTCAGTATTTACACCCTTGATCTGCTTTCCATCACATGCTGCTATCAGAACATCTTCAGGAGAAACAGGGCGCTCCTTTCCCACAAAGATCCATCAGACATGGCGGAGGTGGCCATCGTGCGTCTCGTTGCAAGCAAGGGATCGTCGATTGGGTCCCTCCTTATCCATTTGGACAGGGCACAGAAATAATTCCCCTCCCGTTTAGGGAGGCAAGGTGGCTACGCGGATATCATTCGAAAGGCTGGGATCAAGAATATATTGGAGAAGAAACGGCAAAAACTGCAGCAGAAAACGAGGCAGGAAGTGCTGACAACGGCAAGGAACCAGCCAAATGAAAGGGTTCATTCTTCTAGATGGTTTAATTGGCATGTTTTGGAGCTTATCGCTTTGATATTCTTGCTAGGTGGGTTGGGTTTCCCACTCAATTGGATGTATAAAGAGTGAACTCCAGGTCATGTTTTCAGTTTGTTTTCTGGTGCTCCTGTAGGGTTTTGATTCTGTTGGTAGTAGCCCAAAATCAATGGCAGACGGCAGTGGAGCAAACGATAAAAAGCGAAATGGCTGTCAGATTATCACAGGACGAAGAGTTTTTTTTTTTTTTTTTTTTTTTTTTCCCTTTCAGAAAATGATATCATGACTCATGCACGAAACAAGGGGAATGACCTGTTTAGCTCTGCACAACATTGTCTCCGGGCATGCTCTCAACCGAATACAGGGATGTTCATACAGGCCCCTTTTGACGTGGCGCTGTGATTTCCCACGTGGCCAGAGGTTGGCTCAAAGGCTTAAGTGGGGTTTGAAATTCTCAGACCAATTGAGGGCTGGATAAGAACGAGAGCAGACTCAGCAGAGGGTAAAGATCCATGAAAAAGAAAAGTTCTCGATGTGACATCGGCCGGCGAAATATTCATTTCACCGAACTTTCTCCGATACGTAACGACGGTCAATATATTTATTTAAGATCAGGCAATAACAGTTGAGGCATGCCAGATGCCCTACTCAATCCATGTCAGGTCTTTCTCAAACACTATGTAGCTAACAAATCTGTCGGATCAAGGGTCTTCCTCGTGTTCGTCTAACTCTCTCAAAAGACCCCCACAAGAACCATACAGAGTTGACAAGCTAAAATAAAAAAGAATCACACGAGGAATAAACTCTACGTTGGAAGGTTCCACGTCAAACGCCTTCTGTTAGAGATTTTTTCCTTCTTTTATAAAAAAAAGGTTTAAAAATATAGTTAGTTAACCTTTGCATGGCGTTAGGTAAAAGTATGTAACATTGGTGTCAGACTCGCTGATGGAAAACAGAACTTCCATAACAAAATTCTTCCGCGAAAGCTTTGAGGGCAAATGATTTGCCAGGTATGACGTTAATATCCACTTGGCCCAACAGGTGGATTGCTTCTCCAGCTGGCTCTCTCTCAGGTGACAATCATATTCTTCCAAAGAGTTCTTTTCATTTTCTAAAGCTCCACTCTTTCCACGTGTAGTTCAGCCATTGAAGCTTAAAATTGAAGCTTTAGGGCCAGGTGGAATGGAATTCAAAATTTGATGGGATCAGTCGAAGGTAAAAATTGATGAGAAAATAGATATGGCAATGCATCACTCCCCTCAAACCTAGTTTATTATTTCGGGTTATATATATCCCCATGTTCATCTCAACCACATCTTGATGCCTGCTTGTATAAGATCCAACCCTTGTGGACAACACCCTACCTCACAACTTCGGAGCTGAGGTTGACAATGAGCACAAGGGAGAAATCCAAAAAGTAATCCAGTTTTTTAACACTGGAATGATCTGAAACCTGCCTTACAAGCTACCGCGCATTCGACTTATAGAAACCACGGGGTCTAAGCCTCTGGATATCAAACAACTGTCATCTAGCCAACTATGTCGTTAGCTAGCTGACTGGCTGAGAATCAGCACGATGTGATTGGATATCAGAAACCTGAAGGAATGAACGGAGATTAAAAGCTGTTGTGTGGACTCTTCAAACTTCATCCGGTCCGCAAATATCCTCTTAAACCTTGCATGTTGCTGAAGAATGCCATGCTTCAACTAAGAACTCCTGCTCCTTTTGCCAGGGTGATTGGTTCTACGCTCTCTCTCATATCATCGTGGTTCGGGATGCATTTCAATAGCATCGCATGGCGTATGCATATCAGCCGCAACTATCCACTCAACGGAGATCGATTACCAACATTATGAAAGTTGACCAGCACCGTTTTCCTGCAAACAGAGTTAGAAAAACGGAGATGGATTATCATCAAGTCACTTGCCTTCCAGTAAATATGCATATAGCTCCAGAGTATGGTATGCAGAAACGGAACATATCTATCGGTATATCACGCTTAGTGAGTGGGAAACCTTCCAAGGAATTGTTGATCGTACATCATTATTGAGTGAAGCGTTGGAGCATGGTGTTGAAAAGATGTCATCATGTCAGACGGGAGGAGACATTTCTGCCACGCCAAATGGTATTTGACAAGACGAGATTATTCGAGTGATGAGTTCCAGCCTAATATTTCTCCAGTCGTTGCTCATTACCTATTATTTTCTCTAAACCCAGGCACGTGTACATTTCAATATTTCTCAGTTTTTCAGTTTTTAATTTTTTAAATTTTTTTTTTTTTTTTTAATTTTTAATTTGCTTTATGGACGTAGTTTGATTCTGATCTCCCACTCCACAACATCCACACACAACACATCAGAAAACCCGCCATGGTACTCCGGTCCCCTCCCCGCTTTTCCTCCCCGATAAGCTTAATTCCCACATTTTCCCTCCCCGACGGTTCCCATGCATCGGCAAAGTTCAAAGCGGATTTCATAACATTACACCAAACTCAAAAAATTCCGAAGTATAACGGCTTGTAAAAAGACGCCGAAACACGAACCCAGCCACCACCGACGCTAATAATCATCCAGATGCAGAACATGACAGCCTTACAAGTTGACCAAAAATATCATATCGAGCTCGTCTATCAATCAGATTGGCCATCACTGCTCATTTAGCCTCGGGAAGGTTCACTGTCATCGAAACCTTAATGTCGTTTGTTGACTTCGCCAGCAGCCACACCGCCTAATCGCCTCTCCTCAGGCGGCAACCATGGTTGACAGGGAGGTGAGCGTATATTGATACTAGGTTGAATAATATGCACTTATATCATGCATATCCACACCAATTAATGTTCAGGGACATGAACATGAGCCATTTAGTGTGCAGGCTCATTGGTGAAAGAAATGACACTTCTGTTCAGAGATTCGAGCCTTGGTTCTTGGAGTATCTCCTTCTTTGTTCTTAGGAACAATTAATTGGGAAATGTAATTGTTGAAGTCTGAAGAGAAAGAGCAGAATGAGTCAGGTCTTTACTCTACATGAAGAAAGTCTGTTAGAAATGATGGTTCTCAGACTAGAGATCCCCCTGCAGGATCAGGATTCGTTCATGCCTCTCACACAATAATAGTTGCAGTGTAACCCATACAATGCAGATTGATTTTGAGATATCCAGATCCTGCCTTATTTTACGGTTGCCCTGGGATAAAAAGAATTGACATTTCGACAAAAAGCAGCAGTTTCAGAAGTGATTGATGTTGGCCATCACCAACTAGTAATAAATTGAGCCTAAAGCAGCTAATAATGCAGGGTAATCAATTTGATGTCGGATGAAAAGAACCAAGCTGGGCATGATTCAGGCTAGTTGGCTGGTTCAACCTTGAGGAGAAACTCTTGGTTCCGTCGAGAAGATACGCATATCAGTTACCTTGCTGTGTGCAAGGCGTTACCTTGATATAAACGTGGTTGGCGCCGTAGGGAAAACAACGCCAGTCGTTGCGGAGAGGGGGGTGCTATGTATAACTGATGGGCCGGATGGAATGTGTCGCAAGTATTTATTTTTATAGCTATTTGTTCATGAAAATTGGTTGATAAATTTGCTTCAAGACTCATAACTATATTTTTATGTCCCTGGTTACTCAACAACATATTATTATATTTGAATATAATTACGAATATATATCTATTAGATAAAGTAGATTATTAAAGAAATTAAAATTTAAAGAAATTTCTAATAAATATAACTAATTAACTAGTTATAATTTAATTTATTACTAAATTAAAGATTTATAATACCATTATTAATTTATATAATTAATAAAATATATAATTTAAATTAAAACCAATAAAAGGTTTTATTAAAATTATATATTAAAAATATAGCATTATTTTTTAATTTATTTATTGAATTAAGATTTCAAAGTTTCAACTACTATTTAAATTATTAACTATTAAAATCAGTAAAAAGTAATTAAACATAAACTTGTAAAAGTACATAAAATATATTCAATTATTAACTTGTTTATATGGTCGATTAATAAAATTTAAATAAAAGCTTTTTAATAGCTTTCTTAATAACATTCAAAAATTTATATATGGAAGAAAATTCTGTCTGAAAACTGATGTATATACATACAAAGCTCTTCATCTTGAGAATCAAAGCCTCTTTTTATCAAAAGGAAAAAGACTGCCGTCTTTCTGAACGTAAACTGACTGAAAATACATCAGACAAGAGTAGTTCAGAGAATTTCAGATTTATTAGTAACAGTAGTGTAATATACGCCTTTCTGAAGAGGAATTCAGTGACTGTGAGCTCAATATTTCACATTATTTAACATGGCGAGGGAAAACTGAAAATAGGATAAAAATCACGTGTAATTAGCGGCAACGATGCTCCGTGCAAGTTGTATCCAATATCAATCCTGAACAGTGAAAGCTGCTAATAATACTAAACTGGATTTGTTGTTCCCCCCAACGTTAAGGAAAGACTCCAAAAGTCCACAGGTTAGGCTAAGAGCTCCGGTTAAGGATTAGCGGTTGCGCCCCCTGATTTTCCACCCCACCTTACCAAGGTTCGCAGCCATGAGAGATGAAGGCCAATAATTCTCCCCAACTCAATTGCTGCTTTGGTCGCTTGACTTGGCCCAGTTAGGCTGGACAGGGAGGAATATTTCAATACCATTAACTGAAAGCGAACTAGTCTGCGCTCGCTAACCGCTGATGAAGGAACTACGTTTTCACTAAGAAACCTCTCGATAGACCGTCCATCTAATTTTGGCGTGTATCCGCCATAACCCTGATTTTATTCGACAGGACCAGGATTCCATCGCAGACAGGGACTCGTGAGTGGTGCGTCGTTGAATTCTTCTCAATTGAGGTCCACGCTACATACAGCGGACTACATCGTCCTTCAACCTTGGCCCTTATGGAACCAAATTGGCATCCTAGGAACTATCACTGCACGTGTTTCAGGGTGGATCAAAGACGAATCGTGAAGAAGAATCGGCTGGTTTGACAGGCTCGCTTCTACGGTGAGTACCTAATTCAATATCAATGATGATAAAAATCGTATATATTGTATGCTTTATATTATCAATTCATATGTGGTTAAATCTAGCACTTTTTAACCTTTTTCAATGGCTAATGCTGCGTCCTCAAGAGCTCATCTATGCTCCGTACCTGGTCACTAAAACAGTCCTTGGAAGAGTGCGGGGTCTGCCGTCCGGATCTCGTGAGTGTTTATTATTCGCGATTCCAAGTCTGTAGCAATGCCCAGGCTAGCAAGTGGAAAGCATTTTTGACTGAGGAGGCGCTTGAACATTAGTTAGTGTGAGTTGCCACGTTATTATTTTAGTTTGACAGTTTCTTTGCAAATTGCTCAGTTCTCTCTATTTCTTCTCATCCCCTCACAATACCCCCCCCCACACAAACCCAACGTGCAAAAAATTCTTCAAAAATGAGGATAATGAAGATGCTAAAAGAAAAATGAAAAAGAAAAACGTGGTCTTGTACGTCGCCACTTTGACAATCATTCAAAGAACTAATAAATCAAAAATTTGATAGTATCATTGCTAAAATAGTCTGCCAATAAGAATCCACAGCTAACTCGTATCATAGAACCAAATAACGCCAGTGATTTGCTGGGCGCTTTTCATTTATTTATTTGCGATGAGGTTTTCGTACGAGTCATACAGCGGCCCTCGCCAGATGGAGCCTAAGACGGAGGATGCTTGAGTCTGCAGCAGACTAATAAAGTCTAGCAGCCGCCCGCGCAGCAGCTAGTTCCTAGTGGCCTGTAGCGTGCAACAACCTGGCATGTCCACGCTACAAGCCACGAAGGATCTGCGGCTGCCCAGCCGACTCTGCGACTCTGAGAGTCTGTAACGCTCGCCTTGCTTGCTTTTTCTGTGCGCCAAAAGACTCGTTGTTGAGTCAGATTCCGAGTCGCGGTCGGAGATCTTTCTGGTTTTCTTTTTGTCTTGGTGCTTTGACGGCTCATTTCTATCTCTATTTTTTCCTGCCACTCCCCCTTCTTTTTCTTTTTCTTCTCCTGTTTTCTCTTTATCTCCCACACCAAAAACTCCCTCTTGTTCTGCTTTGTTTCATATTTGGACCATTCATTCTTTTGGCCTTGATGTGATTATTATTATTCACCCCTTGCCAGCATAGTTCTGTACCCCAAGAAAGTAACAGTGGCCTGTATTGATTTTTGGTGCCGGTGGTTAATCAGTGCTTCTCCCCACCAACACCACCGCTCCCGCTGTCTCCCTAGGATCAATTCTTTTAAATCTCGGGATCAGTTATCCAGCCATAGACATCCATACACGGATTTACCGGGGTGCCAGTTTAACCCATACATCCAGACTCTCAGCGACGGAGACCGGCTACTTCTGATTACATTATTGCAAAACACAGATTACAGAGAAAGTAAAGGAAGGGATTATCTTGATATGAACCGCCACACCAAAAACGTTGGCAGATAATACCTCATACCGACACAAAGCCTGTCCGCCTGGGTTACTTCCACTGATTGTCAATACGCCTTTTTCCCCCGATCCTCGCTCTCTCCCCCGCTCTTCTCCACTTCACATCTCGATCTCGCCTTCGCCATGTGTTTCTAGGGATGATAAGCGCAACGGCACCAAGCTCTGTCCCAAGGAACTTAACTGCTGGGTATCTTCGTGTTTGTTCTCCACTCTATTGACAACACCACTGTTATATTGTCATTGCATTCCTTTTTATTGATTTTTGTTTACTCCAATTTTCGATTGATCATCATCATCATTCTTCTTCCCACAATTGTTTAATGGGTCACACCTTTACTGGTACTGGTTCCCTTACCCGTCCCAGTCCTTGGTTCCATACCTTCAGAGCCCCAAACCCAATACAATCATACTTCTATCTACTCTTCGTCTCACCACCAGTCTCCCTGCTCTTCTCTAGAGCTTCCATATACAACCCCACCGTGCTAGTGTAGGTGAGTTTTGCGTTTCAGGTTGCTAGCATTGTCGTCCTTTATCAAATGTTTGTCCCATGTTTTCTACATGTCGCTTTTCGTTTTCCTCTCTTTCGTACCCCACTCCCACCACTGCTAAACCAGCCAGCGCAACCAAGCCAGGCACACCATAATCTTATAGTCTTACTCTTATTTTTATTTTTTCTTTTTTCAATCCCCAGTTTCTTAGCGCTTCCCACTTGTTTATTTCTTTTTAAGGCTGAACATCTCTGCAGCCATATTATTTGGATTCTGCTGACTTGCTGTGGGGCCTGGATCATCCTGTTCCCAGCCTTATTTCCGGTCTTGTTTAGTTTGCACAAATTACCTTCATTATTACTACCACAACGGATATATCCTCGCCCCTTTCTCCCCTCTCCTCCCCGTGCTTGTTTGAATCTCTGTTCCTTTTTCAATGAGCACTCCATCTGCTCTCGACAGGTACCGCGAAGGATCCAACAAAGCTATCATCTCAAACGACTCCTATCTCCCCTTGACCTCAGGTGATACCATTTCCCGTCCCTCCGACTGTCGTTCCTCCACAACCATTTCTACATCTCGCTTCAGTCGACGTTCTCTCGCAGCAATTGCTCTGGAAAAGACTTCCAACGTTTTTAATAATTTATTGGCCTCTTCACTCACGACCACCTCGCCAAATCCCTACCTTCGTAATTCCCCTTCCAGCAACAGCTTGCCCCAGTCGCAAACACAGAATATCACTTCTGCCTCTTTTAGTCAACACAACGACCTTGGGGACAAGACCAACGTTTATAGCAGAGGCTGTGGGAGTAGCAACAGCGATA